TATAATGCCACAAACTTGAAAGTGTAGGAATAACATTGTATACTTTGCGGCTGTCTTTCCACCTGGATTCTGTTCACGGGATAAATGAGAGGTGACCCTTGATTATGTCTGGGAAGTGGAATGGAGTAAGTTTATTAACTACTCAGAGAGTTACTATGCTTCAAAGATGTGATATCTTTGGTATGCGCTTTAGGAAAAGGGACCTTTTGTATTATAAGATAGTATCGAATGATAATGGATCTTAATGAGAAACTAACACATTTACACTCACCTTATAATAACCAGAATAGTCTAGAACTCCAAGGGACACTACTATAGAAGCCAATAAACTTCATGGAGTTTTACAACTAGGTTTCAGAACATATTATAACTACAAGAATAATTCCCTATACTAGAATGGCGAATAAAACCCTGTTACCCAAAGTAACCAAGAGTTGCTGACCAAGTGATTATCTCTCAATCAGGTGGAATAGCTTCCTTCAAATTAGTAGGTAGTCCTCCTGAAAATATCTGTTTGTTGGATATGAAGTTATGAAAGTTTAAAGTCAGGTAACCTAGAAAGATTGCATTTTATGACTCCTTTTACAGATACAACCCACAGATGAAACTGATCATTTCATCAATGACAGAGACAATTGAGGCCAACTCAGTTCAACTTGAAAACTAGACTATAAGTCTAAAGACTCTGATGATCGGATAATTACTATTGGGAAAAGAATAGTTCCTAGTTAGTTATATTGTGATTACCGAAGAGGGTGTTGTAATTTTCAGGGTCTCTAAGTCTTTCTACCTTGGAAGAATACCCAGCCTTGCGAGTTATAATCAGAGAGATACATAGTTGTATAATAGATAGCTGTAGTCTGTGAACACTCAGATGTGGAATATAAATGTTGAAGTATCTTCTAAGCTTTTAGATAACATCAAGCAACAGGGAAGAGACCTTAACAATATAATATTGTCTTCATGATTCTATTCTACTTTACCTACTTTACTTCTCTTTTAGTAGTCATAAATAAAATAAGTGAAAACTGAGTCTCCCTAGACAATCTCTATCTACAGAAATGAATCTTAGTTGGCCTAGATAACTCTGAAGTCTATCAGGTTGTCTCCACCTAACTACAGACAAGAGAAATCAGAACCTGCTCTCTGCAGGTGAGGTTGATGAGGTTAGAGTTATCCAATAGAGGATGGACGGCAGGGTTGAGTTCCAGGGACCTCCTAGTGGTCTCATAGTACTAGCACGTATGGTAAATAGTGGGGTCAAGGGGAGCAATAGACTGAGGACAGAAGGATCAGTGGGCTCCATACTTAGCAAAGGAAGAGGAATGTACAAGGGATATGGTGGTGTTAGGAATACCAGAACCCGATACCTAAGAACCACCCTAAGTAGGGTAACCCCACTCGGAATCGGAATCTCTGGTCTCCAACACCCCCCTCCGGCTCCCTTACGGGGCCCGCACGTCATCATATATATCAATTTCAGTTTCGTCCTGTGACTATATTACCACAGAATTGAAGGTGTTAGAATAACACCATATACATAGTCGCCGTCCATTTGACTGGATCCTGTTCGCAGGATATATGAGAGGGGACCTTCGGCTAGGTCTGGGAAGTGGAACGGAGTAATTCTGTCAACTACTCAGAGTGTTACTTGGCTCCAAAGACATGATACCTTTGGTACGGGCCATAAGTAACGGGACGATTTCGCCCAAAGAGATGGGATCAAATGGTAAAGAATCTCTACTAGAGACCAATACATTTACATCCACCAGAAGAGTCTAAAACTCCAAAAGACACTACCAAAGAAGCCAACAAACTTCACGGAGGGTTGCAACTGGGTTTCGGAATACGTCGTAATCATGGAGTGATCCTCAATACTACAATGGTTACTGAAACCTACTACCCAGAGAGCAATCAAGGGTTGCTGACCGAGGGATTAATTACTAATCTGGTGGAATAACTTCCTGCGAATTAATAGGAAGTCATCCAGAGAAAATCTATTGGTTGGGTATGGAGTTACAAAGGATCAGAGTCAGATGACCTACGATGGTTGTAATAATGACCACCTTTGCAGATATAGACATAGATAAAACTGATCATTTTATCAATGGCGAAGATAATTGGAGCCAACTCAGTTCGACTTAAGGACTAGGCCATAAGTCTAAAGACTCTACTAATCGGGATATTGCTATTGGAGACAGCACACTTCCTAAGAAGAAATATCGTAATTACCAAAGAGGGTGTAATGGTTTTCAGGGTCCACAGGTGTTCACACCTTGGAAGAAAACTCAATGTTGCGAATTACAATTGAAGAAGTACATAGTTGTATGATAAATAAATGTAGTCCACGAATACTCTGACACGGAATATAAATATCGAAGTGCCTCTCAAGCTTTAGACATCATCAAGCAATGGAGAAGAGACTTTAACAATATAATCTTGTTTTTACAATTCTACCTTACTTTACCTATTCTACTTCGCTCCTAGTAGTCATAAACGAAACGAGCAAAGTCCAAGCCTTCCTAGACAATTTCCGTCTACAGAAACAAATCTCGATTGGCCTAGACAACTTTGAAGTCTATCAAGTTGTCTCCGCCTAACAGGTAGTACCAGAGCGAGAGATATATAGATAGCTATGCGAGAAAAAGTACAGTATGCTTGCACTTAAGACCTTGCCAGAGGCCTAACTCATAGGTGAGAGGTAGTATATCCAGATTGGGAAGAGTTTGCTTATAGATAAAGCCTAAGCAAGATGCAGAAATTGGTATGTCAAGATGGTTGCCACCCAAAAACTCAGAGTTTTAGTATGGCCAAAAGTGGTAATTTTTCAAAAACGAGGTGAATAGAGGGCACTGAGTATGAATAGTAATGGAGAACAACTGGCAGTATATGAAATATACTTAAGTGTACGCCAGTTCTCCTCTACTCTGGCAATCAACTATCATACCTCTTGAGATCAGAACTTAATTGAGTAAAAGCTGTAACTTAATAATATTAAGTTTTAAAGTTTTGTTTCTTCAAACTCTACTGCTAAGACATCAAAGTTTTATTATATTTATTCCCAGAAGAATTTATTTCAGTACAGTCACAACTTCGGAATCTATCTTCCCAGAGGGGGTGTAACCAATACTCAGTTTAGGGTTTAGCTTTACGTTTTGTTTTAAGTCTTGCTTTGATACTTGGTTTGTTTTAAGTATTATTTGATACATGATTTTATTTTATGTTTTGTTTTAAGTATCCCTTCGATATTTAGTTTGTTTTAAGTATCGTTTGATATATGGTTTTGTTTTATATTTTATTTAAAGTATTGTTTTGATACTTAAGTGGTTTTACCAAAGTGTATCACTTAATACTTTTGATTAATTTCATTCATGCTAGACATGAACTGATTTGTGTATTTAAAGACTGCCTGATTCCATGATGGAAAAGTCTGACTTCAACAGACAGTATTTCAATATACTTAATTGGACAGTTACTCCTTAGTTTCCCCAGTATATCTTTGAAGACTTCTTTAGTTCTCAGCTCTAGCCTTCTTTCTAATAGAGTAGGCCATCTGTCAGCTATAGTATCTTATCCCGAAATGTGATTAGCACCTTACGAACACATTACAGAAAGCCTCTCTTATAGCCAGAGACCGATGTTTGCAGAAAGATTTCTTAAGTTAAAGTATAGTTACTCTACTTTTAGTAATTTATTATGATATCTTGTCTTTTTCATATGCTTAATACTAATTACAAAGTCTTTGAAATCAGTTATGCCTACTACAGGTACTTACTACTCAGGCTGGATAAAAGCAGGAATAACAGAATTCTATTACCTATTTTGTACTCTAAATTGAAGTAGCTCTAATAAATGCAGCAGTTAAGTTGAGGAATTTATTAATTTAAAGTAGTAAGAGTATTATAAATCTTGGAGTACATTATGAAATATAGTAAAGAAAACTAGAAAGACTCCAAAGGTTTTTCCTAATATATACCTTACAGATATCAGAAAGAATAATATACAGAATTTAGATATAGGTTTATGATTAGTTTTTTCAGATAGTACTGTCATTGTCAAGTAAGATGTAGTGGCTGGCATGCTACTTTAGCTAAGAGACAATTTAGAAAGAGCAATAAAGAGAGTACTACAAAAATCTCACAAGATTTCTGTGAATCAAGAATGAAACTACTTTATAATACTTGCAATATAGTAATAAGCTAGGACTTTGCTTAGGTGCTCTTCTATTAACCTGTTTATCTCTTTCTATTTACTATAATCATTTAGTTGAACAATTTATATACTATTCTTGTTGGCCCATTTAGCACTTTTCCAGTAACTTGAGGTTTTCTTTTCTCTATTTTCCAATCTTATTTATCTTTTTCTAGCTATCATAATAGAAACAAAAAGTAGAGCAGACTACAATCCGCAAGTTTTTTAAACTATTAACTTCTGAGTCTATCACAGAAAATAAAATAGGCAAGAGCATAGCTCAGAGAAGGATATTAGTATCCATCCAGCTGGAAAATAAGGTGAGGAAAATGGAAAGGAAATTGAACAAGATTGTACAGGTTTAGGATTGAACTGAATCAGAGAGGCCAAATATCTTATAACTGATAATGATACAGAGAGTGATGAAGAACATGCAACCTGTATGGTAACACATTGGAGAACAAAAAGTGTTAACATCGCCTACGAAAATTTGTTGAGATAAAGCTTCTCATAAGAACTTATCAAATATTTTCTCCCCTCTTCCACCCCCATTGCCCCGGATATCCGGATGAATTCTGTGAAATCTGACCATCCGGGATAGCGGGGTGCGACTGTATGCATAATGGTAATAGAAAAAGAAAAATAGGACTGCTAGCTCTAAGTAACTGCACTACTTTGACACGGGATAATCCACACATATATATAGGATTTGTCTCCTAGTCCTATGATAAGTAATCTAGAGTTGGTTTAGATAATGTCGAGTCCTCCCAACCTGCCCCTCCAAAATGGCTGTAATGGCTAAAGCTTAGCTAAGCTAGATTTCCCGCCATTGCCATCAATAGTGCCTGTGCCGCAAGCTGTAGCGACCAAAGCCCCACCTTCTTAAACCTCCTTCCCCGTGCTTGATGATCTATAGCATCTCTCGCGAATGCAGCATATGTCTACCACTCTCGCCATTAGCCGCCTCCCTCTCCAGTCAAATGCAAATACATACCTCAGCAGAAACCTCCTCCACAAGGCCAGAATCGTACATGGTCCAGCTCCCGTCGAACTCGTTAGCACGCTTGATGACACGACAGTTGATGGGGATATAGGTCCTCCTGGAGTTAATGTATGCCACAATGGGCCGGATGAGGGCGCTGTTGACGTATGATAAGTCTTTGCTGAACAGCGGGACTGCGGCGCGGACGTCGTTTAGTTGGATTCGGAGGTCCATTATCACGAATTTTTGGTCAGAGGAGGAGGGATCCCGGCGATTGGAGGATGAAGAGGAGGGGGGGGAGACGGTGGCTTCCATGCGTTCGACAATGTGCTGGACCACTTTTGTGAATTGTAGATCGTCGTCCGTTGGGAACATGATATCTGCTACAATGTCCACGTTTCCATGCTGAATCCAGGAAAAGGGTCCCTCGACGCCGCGGTTTAGGTGGTCGATTCCTAAACCGTCGATCCGCAGTCTGGAAGTCTTTTTCCAGGCCTGGGAGCTGTTTTCATTACCGTTGTTGCCGTTTAGTGACTCCGGGCCGATCACGTGGGTTTGTCGGGGGTGGATGGTGAAGAGTGAGTCGTCGAAGGAGCCGGACATCATATTTGCGCTAAGAAAGTCGTAGAAGAGCCATTGTTTTCGGAGCTGCGGGAGGTCGCAGGAGAAGATACTTACCGAGAAGGGACGGAAACCGTCGGGCTGGTGGACCGTCACTAGCAAGTCTTCGAGTTTGAAGGAGTCAATTTCAAAGTCTCCTGGCTGGTGCTCGTACTTGAAAGCGCGGGGGTCTACATCATCCCAAACATGTGTTTGGTCAATCACTCCTCTAACACCCTTGATTTCGACGTCCTTTAGGAGGCCCTTTCCATTCATCCATTTCGCAAAGGAGAGTGTTACGTTGACGGTGTCTATTGTTACGTCAAATTGTGTGTAATTTGTGTCTTCCTCCTCTACTTCTTCTTGGCGGCGGTGTTGGGCATCCTTAGAATTAGCATCGTCTGCGTGAACTGCCGCTGCAGCGGCGGCGGCGGCAGTCACTGAGGAACCCTTTTGAACATTCTTGTCTCCGTACTTGCCATGGCCAGGTCTCCTAGCGACAAACACATTCTTGAACGAAATGCACCCATCCTTCCACCGAGGAACAATAGCAGACTCAAAAACTATCTTGACCCCAGTTTCTCTCGTAAGATAGTTCCCGACAGCCCCAGCGAGCGTTTCCTGCGCAAATACAGTATTGCACAAGAATATCGTCAGTGAAACAAACGTCGTAGTACCCAGCACAACCCAAAGCACGTGGCCAAGGAACAGCCATGAAAAGAACGCCCCGATATCATCCAGATTGTAAGGCCTCATTTGCCGTATAGCTAGCCATTTAGTGCGTATGCTCAACCGTTGAAGGAAACCAGTGGCAGCCGCCAGCATCTCGTCCTTCGAAAGCCGATGCCGATTGACTGTATTATCGGGGGCATTGTTGTTAGTATTGCTCTTCTCCCCCATCTCCTCTGCTGTCCGGCCGTTCCCGATCCTTCGATTCCTTCCACCAGAACCCCGGTCTCCAGACCCAGCCTTGCCACTATTCACCTTCCCTTTCGGCGCCCAGGAACTATTTCTCTTCGTAGGAACCTTCGGCTTGGGAGCTTTCTGACCGATGTGTAGGCTCCGCGCCCAACTTGAGCCCGCAATTCGGATTATTTTCCGGCGGTCGAGGACTCCACTGGAAAGTATTCCTCTGTCTGCTGTGCTAACGGCACATGATGTCGTTTCCGAAGCCGCTGTTGGAGTGACGTTTGTCCATACGCAAAACCCAGCAAAGCCCCGGGATACCACGTATTTTGATCTGGGATACCATCGAGTCGATGTTGTGGATGATAGTGAAGTGAAAAGGCGGGGTCGATGGGTTGATATTGGAAATCTCTTCTGGGAGAGCCCGGTTGTGAATGTCGAGGAACCCAACGGCAATTTAGGATTGTTGATTAAGGGTAGAAGGGTATCCCAGAAAGTGGCACACAATCGGTGGCCAGATGCCAAAGCCATATCTTCATCACCTACAAGCGTGAATTGAAACCCACAAGAACAGAAAAGGCTGGTTGTTCTTTGATAAGACAAAAGCTGGCTTGTGGTTGTGTGGATGACGATATAAACCCCAATTTTTCGACGTTACACCCAATTCGGAACTCCCTCGCTAAGCCCTAACTTATCATATCAAGCCAGAGATCAATAGATAACAAATCTCCGAGCAGCCCAAGATCACTTAAAATAGTGATCCAGATCCGTATTTGGAACCACCAGTCGTACCATACCATACAAGCTTATATGAATTCAATGTCAATTTCAACAATTAAAACGAACCACACACTTTACCCTCGCCACATATCCCTATGAATTAACATCTTGCCACAGTTGTGCAGTACCGCCGCTCTACTCTCTTGCCAACAGCGAAGCATATCACCTGGACAACCTATGATATCCCCAGAGGGTGCTCCAGAGTTACACAGCTAGTAGGGGCCACCGCTATTACACAAGTTCTTACTAGGCGTCATCGACCTCTTCATCATGTACTGTACTTGATCAACTTGAGCGCCTCACGGCCCTCACCTAGTTGACTATTTTTCTCCGATGCGTGAAAACCTTTCATTGTTCATAATAATGCAAAGCACTCAATTGGTGACACTCTAGTAATCCTGTCAACCATCGACATGAATACGATAATAAAACACCGATTCCCAGTCCAGCCTTTGCGAAATGGGGACAGGCCCTGGAATAATTTCGCTAACCAAGCTCGACAAACATCTCTTGAAACCCGCCGGGTGCAAATCACAAAATATACCCAAGGGCCAGCCTGGTTTCCATCGCATGGTTTCTCAAAACAGACCCAAAACTACGCTGAGAATAATTGATGGTATCCACGTGTGATATCGACAGAAATTATACGTAGAACCTGGACTGCTGGGCTCATACATGGCGGCCTGAGCGATAAGTCTCGTAGAATTGGTCTCATTAAACGGTGGAGAAATTGTTTCTCGTAGCTCAGAGGTAATCCTACTGGGAATTTCAGGGTTGGTTACTGGTGGGAGGGGGCTAGTAGTGCTAGAGGGCAAAAACCATCAGTTCCGGATGCGTGATGATCATCCCGCTAAAGCCAGACTCAGACATAGGACAAGCTTGGAACTTGCCTCTCCATAAGACAGCCTTGAACACAAACTAATAAGCTCAGAGTAACCCCACCAACGAGGGGATCCCCTCCGATGCAAATCATCGTGCATCTGATTACAATCCCAAACTCCTCCGCACGAGAACCCTATCGATAGAAACTAAGGTAAAGGACTAAATGGATTAGAGGGGAACGAATGCACAAACCAGAGACAGGAAGCAATCTGATAAGCAGTCTTCGCGACCTTCACTAAAACACAAAGCGTTGCATATATGTGCTTCCATATCTGAAGATCCCAAACTAAATATGGAATAGTCGTAGTCATGCTCGCTCTCACAGCCGGCATATAGGGAATCTGGCGGAATCGAATGTGGAGAGGTGGCATCAGGCTTGGAGTGTAGAGGGGGGCGATACACAGTTCCTACAGAACATCCTCTCCCGTACCCACCTCTATCAATGAACCTCGATTGTGGGCGCACGGGGCATCTTTCCCAACAACCCTCCTAGACCAAAAATTGTAACCCCATAAGAATATCCCTTAGGAAATTAGGAGACGAGGGTAGCAACACGTACGAAGCCTGCCCATAAGCTCTACCACACTTTTCAGGATCCTCGCAGACGACCGTAGGAGAGTAAAAGTCGGACATCTCAACTAACGCCGACCTCTTTGAATGGGGGTAATAGGATCTCAGAAATTCTCCAAAGTACTGATCGAAGCACTTGGTTCGACATTCAGCAAAGGCGGTAAGATCGGCGCCATCAGAATTCTCCGCCAAACAGTCTGCCTAGACGGGTGTTAGAATATAGCAAGAAAGGGGGGAGGGTAGCTAAGGAGACATCGGAGGGAACTGCATACAATACATTGCTCAGCCGCCGCAACGGACTGGGGTGAGTAGCTCTGTTCCAAAAAGAGTACAAGTAAGGCATCAGTTTGTGTCTAGGAAATTGTAGCAAACTTGAATTTAAGTGCTCACTGGATGCTTGAGACACGAAGACTCGCAGTTGGGGTCACCAATACGATGCGTCCAACATATCTCAGCACACATTCCGCTTTCAGTAGCGCTTACGAGCACCGTGGGGAGAAGTAAAGTAAGAGATAGAGAGTTCTTCATCGAAACGGGAAGAGAAGTTTATTAGAGATACGGGACAAGATTTCCACGAGGGGAGCTCCGGTAGAAGAAACGGTAGAGGATAAGGAAGCTGGGGTTGGATGTTGGACAATTGGAACTCTAATACCCGGTACTTTAGAAGAGAATGGCTGAATGGGTAAACTGAGTAAGGAGATTGTATGATAAGAGGTTGGCGATGGGGGTGCACGTGGTTGAGCGGAGGAAATAGGAAACATGGTCAGGGGAGATCGAAGGGTATTTATTGCAGCAGAGCCGGACAGGCTAAAAGATTAACTGAAGGTAACGAATTGCATCGTGTCCCAGGACCGCGTAACCATCAGAATACCGGTACTTGGTGGGAAACGCAACAAGATGTGGGTGAAACGCAATCATTTGTGGGCATGAAGCGTAATCCTATGTATGATATTTAATACCTAGAGGCTAGTATGATATCATAACTAAAAACCAATACCCACCTCAGCCCTGGCAACTCGTAACGTGCCTTAATTTAAAGCTGCGCCTTCATGCGTTCAAACGTCACATTGTTAGTAATACTTCCAATGCCCTCAATTCCTACCTCAACGATATCTCCATCTTTAAGCCAGCATTGTGGCTTTCTTCCCATCCCAACACCCTGCGGACCAATAGAGAGGAGCAGCTTAGCAGCAGTAGTATAATAACTTATCACTCTGACCGCGAAAAACTTACGTTCCGGTAAACACAACATCCCCTGGCAGAAGTGTTGTTCCTTGCGAGAGGAATGATAGTGTCTTGGCGACGGAGAATATCATATCCGCAGTTGAGGAGTCCTGAACAGTTCGCTCATTTACCTGTACAGGTGCGTTAATATATTCCGCAGACAGGCAAAAAAATATCTACCCCTGGAATCATGAGGATAGGCATGATTGATACCTTGGTGGAGATGCGTAGTTTCTGAGGGTCTGGTATAAGAGAAGGGGAAATGATGGCCGGCCCAATCGGGGCCCATCCATCAAATCCCTTGCCTAAAGACCTAATTTCGATTGGCTTGGTTGTATAACACATATGGGTTAACCCCTACCATTGGCCGCCACCCTTCTTGAGTTGCCAGTCTCTGTGGCTGATGTCATTTCCAGCACAGTATCCGAGGACGTAGTCCAGAGCACTACTCTCGGAAACATCTCTAGCCTCTTTGCCAATTATGACCACGAGTTCGCATTCGTAATCGAGTCCGGGTTCGTCCTGAGCTGCTTTCGGAATCGGGATTGGGTCTGCATTTTCGGCGTCAAGAATATATGAGCGGCTCACGATGGCTACCAAAACTGGAGAAGTTGATTACCTGAAGGTCCAGAAAGTGAGGTAATCGGCTTATACTAAAACATAATCAGCACGATCCCTCAATTAACTGCATAATCTCCAACTCACAAATAGCACAGGAAACCTTGGAATATCCATATTTGACTGCCAACCCGGTGTTAGCCATAATTGGCTTTCATTAACAGAGCCAAATGAAGCTACCTCCTTTGCGTGCTGGGCGTAATTAAGTCCCAAGCACCTGATCGTCTTTGTATCCTTAAAGGCGAGCGGGGTCAAAAGTTTGTTAACATTCTATCGCAAGGTCAGGACAACTGCCGCTCCCGGGATCTGGGAGCAAGCTTTATCGCACCAGGACCTGGTCAGTCACTTTGTATCCCAGGGATAAGATATCGCCCTCAATAACACGGGCCTTAGCGACCCTCGAGACGTCACTAATCCCGGTAGGAAGAATCGCCTCCCCATAATACGTTCCCCCATCGGCAGCAATAAAGCGGATAAGGCGCTATCAACATATCCAAGTTAGCTGCAGAGCTCCCGGTCACCATATTCTCCTCTCGAAGACCTAGAAGGCTAGTAACGTTAAACCCATTACTTACCGAGAATCTTGACATGGCCAGAAGCTACTATTCGTGTTTGTGGTTCTAAAACGCTTCAAATTCGATAAATAACACCTCGTGTGTACTCGAGTACTCGTAGAGAGAGGTGAGGTTGCTCAAAGCAATACGAGCACAATACCTTACCAAGACCCGGTGAACGCTGCGCCGAGAGGAGAAAAACGGACAAATCGCCCAAGCTCCCGAAATGCCCCGGGCGACAGGGGCAAGAAGGTCCACACAACGTGCGCCAAGGTTTCCACAACCACACAAAAGTCCAACATCAGAAAAATGAAACGATCTGGAATTCAGCGAGATGTGCTTGCTCTGTACAGGCTTTGCCTGAGAGAGGCAGGGAAGAAGCCTAAGGTATTAACGATCCTTCCCGCGTCTTTTTTTGTTCCCGCTCCTGACCCTGTGCGGTGCTCCGAGAACAGAAAGTTCAAGACAACTTTCGGAATTATGCGAGGTTTGACGAGATCCCCGCCTTTGGCAATTCCACCGTACCCGTGCATGCAGAATTCCTAACAGCGAGAGGGGCACAGAGAAAACTTCCGAGCACATCTCGACATCGACCGGCGGGACTTTGCAACGATCGAGCACCTCCTCCGAGTCGGGCAGAGAAAACTGGAGGTCTATTCGCAACCAGGGATAAAGAATATCGCCTGATAATAACACACCAAGCACGCTCAATCAATCCCTTACCCCACGATACGATAGGCAATTGAAAATTGTGATTTTTTAATTTCTCCTCAACTTATCCCTTGTCCATTACCTTTTTTTTTACACAACCTCCAAATTCTAAGACAAATGTCACAGCTGGCCTAGTATTCCATCTCTCCGTTCTGACCCAGCTCTCCGTTCCATGCCAGAGAGCACTGGAGTACCCCAAAGGTATCAAAAGAGCGTATCGCACTAGCAGCGCACCGTGCCGAGGAACCTTGTTACCCCTTATCCGTGAACACTCACCATCCTCAGCCCGGCAGCTAGATAGATAGTCGGCTGCTGGCCGTGTGGGTATCCAGCAGTGACCAGCACAAGCACAACCTTGTTGAAGATCTTGAGATGCAAATGCTTGGGAAGCTGTTCCTGTACAAGACATGGTTTATTTTGCTGGTTAACTATCCCGTCTTGTACGAAAGCGTCTCCCCGGGTACTTGTATAGGGAATAATAAACTTACTCGAGTACTGACTGTACTTCATAATATGCATAATATGCTCGTCTAACTATTAAGAAGGTAAGTGTGAGCTGATCTAGGGTAAGAATACGGTGAGAGAGAGATTGTGGGATCCCTTGGGAGATAATAATAGGAGAAATGGCCTGAATATGGCGCCCGTTTTCCTTTTGGGTTGGAGGTATAGGTATATGCAAGTATCATGTCTTGAAAAGGCGGTCATAGGTATCATAACGCACGCCATCCAACAATCGCCGCCAAGATATCTCAGTCACAAAAAGTCGTGCACATCTGCAAACCTACCTGCCGCTAATACTTGTATGATACAGGGTACAGTACAGCGCAGGCATAAAAAAGTAGTACTGTACCTCGTACAGTACAGCACAGTGAAGTACCTCTTAGACCACATCCTCACTATGCAGTCCCCTGCCCTCAAAGGTTAAATGTCTTTGACCATCACTCCTATAAACAAGAAAAAAATGTCATGGTATGACAGGTGAGAGAGCAATCTCTCTATACATAGATAATAAAACACTACATGAGGATATTGATCTCTTGAATAAGCCACTACCAGTAGTGGACTTTCAAAGCAGATCAATGAGAACAGCATTAAAAATGATCCCAGTTAAGAAGTTTAGATAATATGCTCAGCAACCACCTGCAAGTATTTGGGTTAGTCTAATGGTAAACATCTACATGATTCACCAAGATTTCCCTTCTCAATTCCATAAAGAAGAAACACCGATCTTCTGAACATTTCCTTCTCAAGCGCACTACCTCTATTGAGACGTTACTTATGCACCGTACCATTCTTTATGCTTGCACCTTCTGCCGCGAGTACGTACCTCGAGCACACGAGCACATGTCTCGCACGAGTAGCCTCTGCGCTGCTCACGAGAAGCAATTCTACACGAAAGGGGTACCGTATCTATGATACATTGGGGGGGGCGGGTTTGGTGAAAAAAAAAAAAAGAGGTATTGCCCTATGATACCGGTACTGTACAAGTACTATGGCGCACAAAAGACTGCAGTACCGTACTATACTTGTAGATTTCCCTTCCAATTCGAGCCAATTCATCTACCATAACTGGTTATTCACGATGTTGGCCCCGGCTTCGAGCCACGTCACTACAATCGGTCACTGTTTTTCGTTTTTTTCTATGGTGCTACACTGAGTACAGAATCGTACTATGTGCTTTAGGGCACAGCATCGGAGGCTCAACCAATTGCCCAATTGGCGTGGCTCGTTAGTGCACGTGATGTGGTGAGCATGCCCTAGGCCCTATCTCGACCGAGAAGACGTTCAGAAAGGTTTTAATGCTTTCTCTAGAGTCCTATGACACCATGGGCAGTGTATTGTAGCCTAATCGTAGGTGTTGATGGTCAGAGAGAGAAAGGGCTGGCAGAGTGTTCGAGCACCCTCACCAAGCTACACCACACAATCACTGAAACACCCAGCATATCGCATTGGGATCCCCCCTCCTTCATATTGTAAGCTCCATCCTTCTTCTTTTCCTTCATCAAGTTACTTCCACTCTCGTAAGCACCGTCCCACACCTTCAATACAGTAATAATGTAGTTATCCCCTCATCAACTCCCCAATTGGGCGCCCCTGATCGAGCGATATACCGTGGCCAATCCCCAGCTTCAGTGATGAAATCTGCCATACCCACCTTGAGCGTGCTCGGCTACCTAACGAGCTGCCCTTTCTTCCCGCCTTCACCCCGCCACCAAGCATCATTGCCACCACAGTCACTCTTCAGGTTACGACATCTTGACGGGTACGGTGGTGGTACAGTACAGGTACAATAAAGTGTAGTATCCCGCCCTTGACGCCATCGCATTGTTTGCTGCGGTCAGCAAGCAAGTAGGCATGCTTGTTTGCTACGATGGGATATAAGTACTTGCACATGTACATGTGCATGCTACCCTAGCTGTTTGCCATCTACCGTATAGTACCTGTTCCTGTGCTTCTTCCATTTATCCATCTTCGCATCGTGATACGTTAACACGCTCCCATCCACTAAGTTAACTTACTAACACTAACATCCACTTGTCAGCCTCATCTATATCCCTTCAGGTATGAAACCGCAATATCAAGCTGACGAGCTGAGCTTTAATGTCGGTAACTCCCCTATCTCCTTTTCACCGTACCGTATTCTCTTCTATGGAATTCCGTCTCGGTTAGTTAGTATGGCGGTAGGGGAGGTGGGGAAGAAGGGTTGTCGTGCCGGCGTAGGGCTGAAAGCGCTATGTCGCCGATGGGGTATATGAAAACGAGAAAGAAAAGAAAAGAAAAAGAGGATAGATGGCATCTTGAATCAGGCTGTTTTCCGTATTATATCATGAGAACACTAAGTCATAGTGCGCCGTTCTCTTTGGCAGATAAAGCTGAGTGAGATTCCGATCGGGGAAGGGGGGAGAGGTGGAGGGGCGGGTTGTGTGTTCTTTGTAAAACATACGATATTACGTGCTGTACTGTGCTCGTGGTGGCTTAATGCAAAATCAATTGTTCGTTGGAGTGGGAACATCCGAACTGTTTGTGATGGGTGATGTGCGAGGGGGAAGGGAAATTGCGAGCCTTACTATACAGTATGTTTTTGCTTTTCCACACTTCTTGCTAAAAATTGTAGAGCTATGATACCGGTATGGTAAATAAATTATATTGAAGGTATGGTGCAGAACCGGCAAGGTACTACTATCTCGGCGAGGGATCTTGATGTTCGACCATCGCTGGCTGCGTACTGTACATGAACAGTACAAACTTGCAATCTCCAGGCAGGCGGGAGCAAAGGGAGCTGATGCAGTACTGAGCCCACGGGTTATCCCAAACTGTGGGACTGATCAGTGGGCACTGTATGGCATAAATTCTAACAGAGTATGCTTTCCAGCCGCCTTCTGCCGATTTATCACAATATGCTCATCGGATTAAGGGAATTGCCAAGTGTTATCTTGGTTATTTATATATCATACAGACTATCGACCCAGAAGCACGAGGATTCCGGATGGAATATTCTCTTCTCTCCGGAGTTGGGCCATTGTCAAGCTTGGGGGGGAGGGGGGTAACAGTAGATCGTGTGTAAGTCACGGCGGACAAGTTCCAAACATGGAAAATAGTTGCTTAGGGAAGATTTTTCACAAGCTTTGCATGGCTGCACTTTTGATTGCCGGCAGCTTTCCTTTGAATAGCGAAGGGGAAGGGGAAGGGAAGCTGATTCCGATGAGACACTTAAGTGCAAGCAAGTGGTGAATGATATGACGTTACCGAAGATACCCCATGCGAACAATCTTGAATACCGAATTTTCAGTTTTATTCTTTTCTCATAATATTATTATCTTGCCATAAAAGAAGGCAGAGCAAGAGTTTGTGCGGGGTTTTTCCCCCCCCCTTTTTTTTTTTGTTCGGATTGATGCCCTATTTACAGGTGCATAGTCGCATGCGTAGGGATGGATAAGCGAGCAAGATTGATCGAAGGATACCGGTATCTGGTTAAGAACTGGAGCGGAATGGGCGTTAGGATGTTAGGTCTACTCAATATAATATATGATAAATATGTTACTTTTTACAGGATTACCCCTACAAGTACAAGTAGAAGGTCTGCCTATCATTCGTCTTTCTCCATCCTCCTTTTTACTTGATACACTACTTCCTTCCTCTAGAAGGGAGCAACAGTCGATCGCATCGAGAGAGTTCCAATCATCAATCTGGGAAAACCACAAGGCAGCATCTTATGTATTAATAGTTCACAACAGGATCAGCGGCAAGTCATGCTTGAAACCTCGGATCCAGAGAGTCCTCCCTACACTCCAGTTGCTTATGGAGAAAAGAGCTGAACAGGCCGCCTAGGGACATTATACATGAGAATTGGTCTCCATTAGTTGTAACTCTGCGAGGATAGAGGAAGAACCAGATCGGGCTCCGATTTCTAGAGTATCGTATCCGGGAAGGTACCGGGGCTCTTGGCAGATTGGCAGGCGTTGTGGTAGACGAAGCGCGCCCACCACCGGCCGAAACTGGGGGTGCAGGGAGGGCACGATATCCTTGCGGTAACTGTACAGTATCATAGTGGGGAGCCAAGTACTCGAGCAAGTGTTCAAGTACGACAGGGTAAGTTAAGAGGTGGCTAGTCGATTCAATGGGTCCCCAAGCCCACTCTGGAGACTCCTCCCGTTGCCCCACGGCTCAGCATGCATGATGGATGGGAGAGGAGGGGACGGGTGGTGGTTGCAGACTAACTTGAATACCACACTGTGTTGTAAAAGCTGATAATGGTGGTGGTGATGGTGGTGTGAATTAGCTATGATACAGTAAGGTTGGCGGTAGAGGTGTGCCTTTGGCCCAAGCTAAAAAATAAAAATAAGTACGTTGTGCAGGGCAGGGAAGCTAGCAGCTTCACATCCACACCCACACCCATCAGGGCTCACTCACAACAATCAGGTCAAGACACAAACAGAACAATGCTAACTCCACAAACCATTCCCCCCCCCTGCTGCCCCCTCCAACTCCCCCCCTCTTCCACTACAGTACTTAAGGCCTTGCTGCCCCTCCTGTTGACTCCTTTCTTCCTCTCGCTCGACCAACTGTATCATCCCCACCTAAAACCTTTAAAGTCCTCAGTTCCCCTCTGCTCTCCCTCTCGCCCCTTATCCTACTGCTATCGATCAACATCCGAGTCGTCAGCTTTTTTCTCCACTCGATTCTTTGATTGTTCATTGCTGGTCCCCCTCCACCCAGAGTTCCCCCTCGCCATAATTGACCCTTTTGTAACATCGATACTATCCATCACCAAATCATTCAGAATGTGGTATGCATGATAATTTTGTCCTTGGTTTTGCATTGATGACAGAGTTCTTCAAGTTTCGGATGAAAGGAAAAACTAACTCAAATAATTCCAGTGGAATCTTCGGCTACATCAATTACCTGGTTGAGAAGGATCGCAGGTACATCATTGATACATTGATCAATGGTAAGCCCCCCAAATTCTTGAGACTCTTGATAGACACAATGGCCTGGCATACCTCGCGTTATTCAATTCCGTTACCCTGAGGACAAACCTAATGCATTTGCAGGTCTTTCTCGTCTTGAGTACCGCGGCTACGATTCGGCGGGTATCGCAATCGATGGTGACAAGGAGAATGAGGTTTTCGCATATAAAGAAGTGGGAAAGGTCGCAAAGCTCAAGCAACTCATTGATGAGGCTAAGCCTGACCCGAACGCTACATTTGTCTCCCACGCCGGAATCTCACACACTCGGTGGGCTACTCATGGACAACCCTCGCGTGTAAACTGCCATCCCCACAGGTATGATCTGCCATTCCCGCTTTGGGGGAGCAATGCAAGAGAGGATACCGGTCGCTGATGACAGGCAATAAACTTAGGAGTGACCCCACATTCCGATTCACGGTTGTTCACAATGGTATCATCACAAATTACAAGGAGCTCAAGGCTCTCTTGGAGAGTAAGGGTGAAGTATTCGAGACCGAGACCGACACAGAATGTATCGCAAAGCTTGCGAAATATATTTATGATCAAAACCCAGCTATCGATTTCACCACCCTTACCAAGTCGGTCATTGCCGAGCTTGAGGGAGCCTTCGGTCTGCTCTTGAAGTCAGTCCATTATCCTCATGAGGTTATGGCTGCTCGTAAGGGCTCTCCTTTGGTCATTGGTGTCAAGACCCAAAGGAAAATGAAGGTCGACTTCGTCGATGTGGAGTTCTCTGATTCCGCCCCACTTCCCGCCGAGCAGGCCTCGCATAATGTTGCCCTTAAGAACCTCAAGAATGGCCCACAGAACACCCTAGCCCCCCCAGACAAGAGCCTTCTGCACAGGTCTCAGTCCCGCGCTTTCCTCTCAGATGATGGTACGCCAGTTCCTGCGGAATTCTTCTTGAGCTCGGATCCGTCAGCGATCGTCGAGCACACCAAGAAGGTTCTTTACCTTGAGGATGATGATATTGCTCACATTCACGAGGGTCAATTGAACATTCACCGGGCTGGAAAATCTGGTGGCGCCTCTGCTATCCGCTCAATCCAGACACTCGAGTTGGAGTTGCAGGAGATCATGAAGGGCAAGTTTGATCATTTCATGCAGAAGGAAATTTTCGAGCAGCCCGAGTCCGTTGTCAACACCATGCGTGGCCGTTTAGATGCCACGAACAAGAAAGTTACTCTTGGTGGCCTGAGACAATATCTTAGCACCATTCGCCGTTGCAGGAGAATAATTTTCATTGCATGTGGCACATCGTATCATTCGTGCATGGCTGTTAGGGGTATTTTTGAGGAATTGACCGAGATCCCAATTGCCGTTGAGCTTGCTTCCGACTTTTTGGATAGACAAGCACCAGTTTTCCGTGACGGTGGGTTCAGTTATGAGATCCTATTCAAGCACATGTGCTAATGATCGCTAGATACTTGTGTCTTCGTTTCGCAATCTGGAGAGACCGCGGATTCCCTGATGGCACTTAAGTACTGCTTGGAGCGTGGAGCACTTACTGTTGGTATCGTCAATGTTGTCGGATCTTCAATCTCCCTTCTCACCCACTGTGGTGTCCACATCAATGCTGGTCCCGAAATCGGTGTTGCTTCCACCAAGGCCTATACTTCACAATTTGTTGCTTTAGTCATGTTTGCGTTGTCATTGAGTGAGGATCGTGCATCTAAGGCTAAGCGACGAGAAGACATTATGGACGGTTTGACCCGCATTTCAGACCAGTTTAAGCAGATCTTGCAGCAAGACCAGGCCATCAAAGCGATGTGCTCAAAATTCTTCCACAATCAGAAGTCATTACTCTTGCTCGGCAGAGGAAACCAGTTCGCCACTGCCCTCGAGGGTGCTCTCAAGATCAAGGAAATTTCATACCTCCACTGCGAGGCTGTCATGTCCGGAGAATTAAAGCATGGTGTGTTGGCATTGGTTGATGAGAACCTCCCTATCATCATGATTTTGACGAGGGATGAGATCTTCAAGAAATCTCTAAATGCTTACCAACAAGGTATGAGGAAGCTCCTTTATCCGTTGTTCCGGTTTGCTGACAATCTACTTCGCTAGTTGTTGCTCGTGGTGGTCGTCCGATCGTTATTTGCAACGAAGCCGACGAGGAGTTCAAGAACGAGAAGTGCGAGAAGATTGAGATGCCCACGACCATTGATTGTCTGCAGGGACTTCTCAATGTCATCCCCCTCCAGCTCATCGCTTACTGGCTCGCCATTGCCGAGAACCTGAACGTTGACTTCCCTCGTAAGTTTATATCTACCCCGCCTCCACCGCTTGAATGCACACGACTAACCCGCTGCTAGGAAATTTGGCCAAATCGGTCACTGTTGAGTAAAGATCTTGCAACGGGCGCCCCATTGTTGTTGCCGGCGATGTTGGATATCCAGTTTTTTGTTCGGGAACCTAGGCCTTTGCGTTTTTTTACTAATGTTTTACGAACGGTCAGATTGGTCAGATGAGCAGTCAGTATAGACTTGAAATGAAAAAAAGAGGGGGGAATCTCAGCGTTGATATGAGATCCATTTTCAAAAGAAACAAAAAAAAGCTTGCTTTTTCTTAATGATTGTGAATGTGGGACCAAGTAGTTAGGGAGGTTCTGTTGTGTACGTGAACTTGAACTTGACCCTTGCCTTGTGTCATGAGTGGACTAGCCTGTACAAGTACATAGAGAGAAGAGGTTTGGAGGGCTAGGAGAAGTATTTCAGCACCCGAACCTCAGCAAATGTGACAAATCTATATAGCCATCCAGAATACCCACTTACTGGTACTCCTTAAGAAATTATGCTGAACCTAACAGCCACTCTTCCTTGGTTGTTTACATACTAGAGTTCACACCACCTTGGTTCACGAACTATAAGTTCACATCTCGGACCAGAGACCACGCACCCACTTGAACTGGTTTATCTGGCCCAGCAGTGTAAGGGGGAAGGCTGTCGCGGCGGTTTCAATCTTCAATTCAGCTTAGCTAAGGCCCACTGGTGACTGGTTTAGGTTCAGGTTTAACCCCTATATATGCAAAAGAGCAAAAGCTGCACGACGTATCACACCCCACCCAACCGAGGCCATTAGCAGTTGTTTGTATAGACCCTGCAAGCGCCATCCCGATTATCGACTGTGAAAAGACCTACTACGATACCATCTCTTCTATGCTGTTGACTGAATCTGAGTGGATAGATGAGTGATGATCGGTGATTGGCCCGGCACTGTCCGTGTTCCAGGAATGCACTCACCACAGAAAGCGAGGAACACAATGAATTGCAGCCCCCCCTCCACCATTCCCTCAAGAGCCTCCCGGATATCCGAAGGGGGAAAGTATGTATCATAACCCGCTCGAGATCACTGCAGCCGCATAATCCAACACCAACCTATCCTAAATTCAGATTCCTACCCTACGCCTTCGAGAAGTCTCTGATCCGGCACCTCAATCACCAATCCAAGAAATCCCCATAGGTCGTACAAACACGAAGTCACGCCTCTTCAGGAAATAAACCGGGGAAATCCTGCTGGAACACCCAACCAGAGCTGCCTGTGCTACCGGTATTAAAATAAAATGGGAAAAAAGGCCATCCATCACCCCTGGTATTTATTATCCCGATGACAGATTTTTAAAAACCAGAGACCGTTCGTCGGAGAAGGTTTTTCCATTCTTCACTCATCTCCCCGTCTTCAAAATAATTCGCAGCAGGTGTCGACCCTCACTTGGCTGGCAACACCACGATAAACCCAGACGAAACCTATTATCATACATACCCCACCACTACTAGAGGATCTCGCATCCGCCACACCTCATCCCCCGTAATCCGCAAACGACGCAAGCGCCAACGAAACGAGACGGGATGTGCATGATAAAGGTCCGCCCAGAGATTGAGGAAGAAGTAGTGGTGCCGGCGAGGCCTGTGGGCCACCACCGTCGGACGGGAAGTCGCGATAGCCGAATCCAGGAAACGACCGTAGTTGAAACGATCAAAGCCCCACCGCCACCACCCTCAACCCTCTCCCTCAGCAACAACCCCGGAACTACTACGATAATCCAAGCTCCCGAGCCACCAGCGTCGATAATTGGCAGCGCTGCCGACAGCGAAATGGTCCGGCATCATCACTACCCTTATGACTCGCCGAGAGCTAGCGTCGTGAGTGCCCGAAGTCGGGACTACTACGTCGACTCGAGTGCGTATGCTGCACGATCGCCGAGGAGCTCGTATCGGTACATTGACGCGCGTGGATCTGGGAGGGTGGATGGGGTCGGCGGCGTTGGTGGAAGCGGAAGGAAGGAAATGGATTACGTGCGGGGGGATAGGTATGGTTATAATAATTACCATGGGAGGAGGAGTGGTAGCATGAATTACGTCAACCCGAGGCATTCTACGGCTTCGCATAGGTCTGCGCGGTCCATGAGGGAGAAGGTGGTTGTTGTTGATGAGTATGGGAGGGAGAAGTTTTATGGAACCGTGTGAGGGAGTGGAGGAGCGGGGCTATCCCATGATACCCTTTTATTTCCCCCTTTTCTTCTAAAAGAAGTCTTTCTTCATGTTTTATCACGAGTGTTTACGAGTACGGCGGGTTGATGGGCGGAGCAGAATTTCGTTGAAAGGGTAGGGGGGGGGGGGTGCGGTGCATGGTTTCCTGCTAGGGGTTATGAGCGCTGTGAGCGTGGTGGGCTACTCCTGTTCCTTCCGCTAGTAGTGTTGGCGTGAGTGCATATATGCCGGTTTGGCTATGTCAGGATAATAAATTTGATTGATGGTGCTTCATGGCTTCTACCTGCTGTATGATAGAACAATGTAATTTTGGCGTATACTGTGCTATATTATATTGGACGTTTGTCGTTAAAGAACAGCACTCGAGTACATGGTTTCAGCCGAGCGTATACGGCGATATGTCTGGTATCGCATGTATAAACCGTTTTGCTTTGACCGGGATGCACCAGACTAGACTGCCAACTTTTCACAAACTCTACAAGCTATTTGTCAACTTATCAATTAGTCGCGGGCAATCATGTTAATTGGACTTTAATCGCTCTAGTGGCATCATCCGCGCACCTTCAACAACACAATGCTCAAGCTGGCCCCAACGGCACCCACTCAATATCTCCCCCCTTGTCATCGCACATCAATCTCTCCCATTTCCCTGCTCAACTTCTGTAGGCCCACCCCTGGGCGGTAGTACTGGCCTCCCGACCACCGGCAGGGTGCTCACGCGCTTTAGCGGCGGTGGGGGTAGCGAGCGTGCCTGTATCGCACCGCCGGGAATATGCATATCCAGCCCTGCCCTCTGCGCATCCCTCGACAAGACTGCCGGCTTTCGAGGAACTGTTGGCGGTGGGTGCTTTCCTACTTTTCCGGGCTGCGGATGGGAGGTTTCTAGTGATGTTGTTGATGAGTTTATGGTGGAAGTGATGGCGGTGGTGGTGATAGGGGGAGTTGGAGGTGGGGCCTTGGGCATCGTGAAAGTATTTGAGCGTGCAGGGAGGGGAGGTAGGTCCACGGGGTTGAATGGTGGGGGTAATTTCCTTGGGGCGCTTTTCGAAGGGCGAGGGGTTAGTGTTGGGGGGGTTGGGGTGGCTGTGGTGGCGGGGGGGATTTGTGATTGTTTTTGGTGTGGTGGTGCCGGCAGTGTTGGGGGGAAGTCGGATTTGCGGATCCAGTCTGGTTCGGTGGCTGTTGTGAACGGGTTTGTCGAGCGTTGGGGGTTCGGGGCATAGTCGGGGCCAGGGGGCTTTACTGTCGATTTGGCGGGCATTCCTGCCCGAGTGTTAGTGGGCGTTAGGGGAGAGAGGGAATGGAGGGGTACCGTCATTTAGCCACCATTTTCGACTATCGGAGCTTGGTGGTAGTACTGGTGCCGTTAGTTGGGGTGACGGAGAGAGGAGACCAGTTGCACCACGTACGGCCAGATTCAATGGGCTCAAAGTCTAGTAAATCGTCTTCATCTCCCGATGAATCCTCTCCCGGGCCTGCCAGATGGCCAACTTCTGCACGCAGCTTGGTATAGATTTCCTTGCTTAACTTCTCTTTTGCGGCTTCATCCACTACAGAGACCGCGCATTGGAACGTGGCGTAGACGGGTCTGTGATCTGAAAAGCGGAGAGGAACAGCACCGTAAGACAGCTGCCGTAGATTCTTCCCTCTGCGAAGCACTCGGTCACACCAAGCTGGTATTCTGGCCTTCTCGCTGGTGAAAGGAGTGCGGTCAGCCAAACCCGTGAAGGCCTATCACACAAAATGGGCTGTTGGGGGTTTACGAGGTATCGTATCTGTCCGTTCCAATATCGTACTTGTAGGTGGGGTCAAAGGTCAACCTTGCTTCTGAGAAATAGGGAAAGGCAAGTCCGGCAATCATTTGGAGGTTTAACTGTGGATTTGTCAGTTTGAAATATGAAATGCTATAGCTATGGGCGCTACCTGGTCGTTATCGTATAGGGTCTGAAGATCGCCGAGTCCTACCAATTTCCGGACCTTCTCATCGGGGAGTCCGATCCTGTAGTTAAAATCGCCAAGCCATATGACTGTATCATGATCATCTATAGTTCGGCCCCGCTGGAACCTTAGTCCATGCGCGATGGTCCTATAGTCTCGGTTTCGTTCTTCGTAGTTCGAAAATCCAGCAGCAAGATGTGCCGTGACGAAGCAGAGCCGAGTATTTGCATATTCCATGCGGATGGCTACAGCTCCTTTGTTCCCAGCGACACCCGACATACCGGTCTAATGGGGATAGTGTTAGGAAGCTCTTGGGCGCAATCAATACCTTCAAGTGAAAATAACTTACCTTTTTCAAACTCCCTTCGACATTCCTGACCTCGCGAATCGCACTGGCCTTTACATATATTAGGAGGGCTGCGCCAACAAGCTGTCCTCCTCGAAGAAGCACGTATTCTTCACCGCCAGTAGCTCTAGCATGCGAATTGAGTGCTTTGAGTACGGCTTGCTCCCACAATTGCCTTCGAGCGGGATCTGTAGACATGATTTGCTGTGGACTTAATTGAACAATCTCCTGGAACCCTACAACTACAAGCTCAGGGTGCAGCGGGGAATTTTCCAAAAAGGGTGGACACAGCCATTGGGAAAGGTCATCATTCATGCCGGACGTCTGGCCATTAAGGTTGAATGTGCCAACGTAAATATGAATATCCTTTTCGTGAGAATATTCTATTTCTCTGTTAAGGCACAGGGTGCGTTAAGACGTGACTAGCGATAAACAAGAACCTCCGCAGGAGCAGCCTACCGTTTACTCAATTCCGCGGTAACATAATCACTAACAGGGTCGTATAGGTACACAGAATTTTGACCAACTAATCTGCCCTATTGATGGAATTAGTCTTGAGAGGAAACCATGAGAACATCCACAGGCAATTTTTTGTTTTCTTGCTGGGTGTAAAGAGATTAGTACCAATAACACATCGATGGTGTTCTGTTTGTCTTTATCGGCAAAATTATTAATATAAATCCTGGCAGCGCTCTTCCGTGCATCAGCGATTGCGCCGGCGAAACTCATTTTTCCTGTGCGAGTAAAACTTGACTTTAAGGCACCTGTCCCGGCATAAATTTTGGAAAGTGCCTTGCACAGAAGGTTAGCACCGCAGCTAGAATTAGGAAATCGGTTCTCACATCACCATTGTCGGCCCATAGAGTGGAATGACGAATCCAGAATTCATGCCCAAAGTTTTTACCAGTCTGTTCGAGGAAGGATTCAATTGCCGTTTTACTTAATATTCCCTGTACAAGATTTGTCCGATCTAAGCAATCGAGGCAGTTCGTCCTGAAGACACCATCTTGCCGCAGCATGACAAACTCTGTTTCCTTTTGGCCTCTTCTATTAGCTCCACGATTAGATCTGCGGCTGCTGCTTTCCATTAAAAAAAAACCAAAGGAATCTGCTGAAGGTTCAACAATGCGGCGTATCATGTTGGCTGCCTCATAGCCAGAAGGTCCTTTCGTCTCTGCATGAAAATCATATTCGGTAGCTTCCAGAAGTGAAGAGTTACCAAGCGCATTACGTTTCTCGCCCGGCCCGCTGGTTGTTAGAGGGGAGTGTTTGATGTGGTGTCTAAGGCGGGAGGACAGTTCTACCTCACCGGTCTTGGTCCGGGAGAGCAGATTGACGACATGGATTGCACCATACTTTAGCGAGATTGACTCCAAATGTTTGTCAAACGCTGGTTGGGTAGCCTCGGAGGATCTCGTAATTTGTATCTTTTGCTGATTTGGGAGTAAGCCAGTCTGCTGCTCCCAGAATACTAACTCCACAAAACTGATTCAGCAGCTGATACAAAAGATGAGAAAAAACTCGGCCAAATGAACGTACTCGGTATACTGCCCCGGATTTGGCAGTAGCTGAAACCAATGCTCACGTTTTGAGACTCGGGACACGGGTCCCAGATAACAGTCTCCGTTTCGACGAAATTTGCTACATGCCCATCGTCATCCATTCCACGAGAGTTGAATCGGGTGCCAGCCCTCCTGCAACTCAATCGGCTGATAATTGTCAACGTAGTAGCTAAACCGGCGGATCTGGGCTCAGCTGAAGTCAATGGGCGTGGAATTGTTAGGGACTCTACAAAGCCACGAATGGTACTCGTGAGAATATAAGAAGCATCTAACTCCGAGCGCTCCCGATCAGAAAGGTGAGATCGAAAGCGAAGTAACGGACTAATCATGTAAGAATTCCATAAGAACGAAGGGTCAAAATTGTCGATGTCAAAATCGGCAGTGTCAATTGATCTGAAGTGAATCGACGCAAAGGTTAGTGGGCGCATTTGACAGAGATGACGGGACTCAATAAAGGCCATGGCTAAGAGCGGGCTATCGCCGCCTAGCATTGGCGCAATCAAATTCAGGGCGGGGCAGTGTGGGGGTTGTGTATGTTCCAAGATGGGTTGTAGTCCCTAGCGGGAAGGATTGCAGCTGACCTATCTTGAAGCCGGTTCGTAAGGTCAAAATCCCGAGAGTAGTAAAATGTTCCCCCACTAAGAAGCTTCCTCAGCGATAAACATGGGTGTTCTACTCCTACGTGCGGTTGACTCCGCCCTTGGTCCCAGCCGTCTGGATCCACGGGGTATGGGTTTACGTCGGAGTCAAGAAAGTCGTCAAAATCGGCACGATTGAGGCAGTCTGTTTGGAAAGTTGATTAAAGGAGCAAGCCCGGAAGTGGGGAGAGAGACCTACGAAAGTTAACCGCATGTATCCTAAAGACGTGTTCACCAGGGCGAACTGACGCGACCTCCCGAGCACTAGTAACAACACCAAGGAAAACATCACGATTAAGTGTAATCAGGCCAAGAGTGCCTAAGCAGGGCTGGCTCGATAAAGACCGATACCCGTCTAGGTCGACAGAGGCAAGATCGAGAAATTCAATTATGCATTTAGGAATTGGAGTAGTGGAGGAAGGACCATTAGTGCGTTCGAGGATAGAAGCAAAGGATGCATTGCTAGAGCTTTGCGCAGAAGAGGGTGAGGGTGAGTTTCGCAGAATTAAAGCATGGGAAGGAGTAAGGAGAGCAATCGACCTGTGTGGATGGTCTTTGATTAGGAGGTCGATCGGCATGATAGAAAGGGTGTGGTGCGAAGTGGAGAATGGGTTGAGGGACAAGAGCTCACGAGGGACTGGCGGGAGGGAGGCCACGGGGGCAGCGGAGAGATACTGGTCACGTGCCTGATCGAGGGAGACTAAGTTACCGGTATGCGTGGACCCTGTGAGTGCTTAAGGAGGGGACAATAGGGTGGGTTGTCGTGGCTTGGCGGCAACTTGTGGCCGCATAACTCTCAGAGAGGTGTGGCGAAACTTGGCACATCCTGGCATCAACAAAATGTCACATCAGGTCCTCAAAGTTCTCGAATGCGGTGAATTCGACCTTCGGGGTATTGCCATAGACCCGATGAAACGATAAAAACAAAGATTCTCCTTTATCATGCCAAATATGGTACGTCAGACCCTACTGTACTCGAGTATCTACTTAAGTAGGTTTCCTACGAGTACCAGTAGATTGAGACTACATTGAACGTTTTGAAAGGCACAGCGGTGAGAATGGGAAGCCCAAACCCAAATCAGTAACCCCGTGGCAACCCGTTCGGCTATCACTGATCTCCTGTGCCAAGCCTCCACGGGACTCGCTACCTTCCCCACCTCTCATCGACGGGTTCCGCCAGTCCGCATTCACGCGTTGCGGATATAGACGGTGCATCGCTATCTTCGCGGATCCTCAAATAGTATGCATAGTACCATGTCCACTCATCACCACACCTCCCCGAGACCTGCAGAGCACACACATCATGGTTATACGCCGTGAGTTTCTTTTGAATGGAGCTATAGCTAACGGGTATAACCCGTTGGTAGAAGAATTAAGGGATACGGAGTATCCTCAGCTAAAAGGTGCCTTTCACCCCCTAGTATCGCACAGGTATGTGTTGTTTCTGAGACTGATTGCTCAACTGTCTGCTTAGGAATCACATATCTGGACCATGCCGGAACGACCCTCTATGCGACCTCCTTAATACACTCCTTCTCTCAAGACCTCTGCACAAACCTCTACGGCAACCCTCACTCCCCATCACCCTCGTCTCAGCAGACCACCAAACGAATAGACGATGTCCGACACCGCGTGCTCCACCTCTTCAATGCCGATCCTGAGCAGTTTGACGTCGTCTTCTGCGCAAACGCCACTGCAGGAATGAAGCTAGTCCTCGAGGCATTCACAGCTCGAGAAGAAGGCTTCAAGTACCGATACCATGTGGATGCCCACACAAGTCTCGTCGGAGTGCGAGAGCTAGCGAGCGAAACTACCTGTTTCTCTTCCGACGCGGAGGTGGAAATTTGGTTGAAAGGGCTATGCCAGGATTCACCGGGAGGACTGTTCGGGTGGCCAGCGCAGTCCAACTTCTCCGGACGACGGTTACCGGGAGATTGGGCTGCGAGACTGAGGGATAATCGGCCGGGATGGTATTCCCTGCTGGATGCCGCAGCATTGGTCACTTCCACCCCGCTTGACTTGCATAATGCTCGGGTAGCGCCGGACTTCACTGTACTAAGTTTCTACAAGATGTTTGGGTTCCCAGATCTGGGAGCTCTGATCATACGGAAAGACTCAGCCGACATACTTAAGTCACGGCGTTACTTTGGCGGAGGAACGGTTGATGCGGTAGTGAGCAGAACCCAGAACTTCCATGCACGAAAGGTAGATTCAATCCACGCGCATTTGGAGGATGGGACCCCGGCTTTCCACTCTATCCTAGCATTGGGTACCGCCATTTCTACTCACGAACGATTATACTGTAGTTTTAATAATATTTCCCGTCATACCTTCTCACTCACCCAAGCTCTTCATGTACTGCTAAGCGAGCTTGTGCATCGGAATGGGCGTAAGCTCTGTCAGATCTATAGCCCGGGAGGGCACACCTCTTCAATAACACAGGGTCCTATAGTAGCTTTCAACATGCAACGCGCGGATGGGTCGTGGATTGGATATGCGGAGGTGGAAAAGTTGGCATCTGTCAAGAACATACATATCCGGACAGGGGGATTGTGTAATCCCGGCGGTATCGAAACATCGGTCGGCGTTGAACCCTGGGAAATCAAGCAAAATTATCTTGCCGGGCATAGGTGCTGGGATGAGCAGGATGTTATGCATGGTAAACCGACTGGCGCTATCAGGGCATCACTCGGGGCTATGAGCACTATCGATGATTTGATGGTGTTTGTCAAATTCCTGGAAGAATTTTATATTGATAAGGAGCCTGTTAGCTTGGCTCTCCAGGGGCCGGTTGGGAAGCCCGAGGCTGTGGTTGAGAGTTTGACTATCTGTACGTCCCTAAGCAGTGCCGCCTAATGACCTACTAACTTGGTTTAGACCCTATAAAGTCGTGCGGAGGCTTCAGGATACCTCCCGGTGAATGCTGGGAGATTCGACCTCACGGGTTTGCTTGGGATAGAGAGTGGTGCCTGGTACACTTGGGCACAGGATCAGCAATTGATCAGAAAAGGTTTGACACCCTCTTTCATTTCACTGGAACTACTTCTTTTCCTAACCATGTTTAGATACAATAAAATGGCTCTCATCCGCCCTAGGGTCGATCTCACATCTGGGTACCTGGAAGTCTACTTACACAAGTCCTCCGTTGCCCCGCTCAAGGTGCCTCTCTCCCTAGCCCCATCTGCAAGCTGCACCTTAAAGTCCAGTCAATCCCGAGTCTGCGGCGACAAGATCGCAGCCCTAACGTACACTTCCCCGCACATCACCGACTTCTTCACCTCTGCCGTCGGCGTCCCCTGCACCCTCGCACGATTCCCTGCCGCTTCAGAGAACCGGCACTTCAAGCCCCATCTCAAAGGATCGAGCCTGACCCAGGAGAAAGACGGCAGAATTGCACCAATACTCTTATCGAACGAATCCCCAATCCTCCTTATCAATAGCAGCTCCATAGACAAACTAAACGAGACAATTGGCCGTACTGGCGGGAAGTTAGCGAAGCCCGAAGTATTCCGCGGGAACATCGTCATCCGCGAAACAACCGTGGTCAAAAGAGCCTACGCGGAGGACTTTTGGAAGCATGTAAAGATTGGGCAGGAGCACTTTCAGGTAATACCCCGCTCTTAGCAATCGCTAGATGGCGGACTAAACGGAATGCTAGCTCCTCGGCCCCTGCCGCCGTTGCCACATGGTCTGTGTGGACCAGGAAACGGCAGAAAAGAATGAAGAGCCTTACGTCACATTGGCGAAGACCAGGAGGATCGATGGAAGGGTTTTGTTCGGACAGCATGCTGTGCACTTGCCACTCGAGAGCGCAGGTGTGGTTCCAAGGATTAGGGTTGGGGATGTTGTCAGAATTTTGCAGGATGGAGATGTGGAGGAGGTGGATCAGGGCAGTTTGGCGGGTCAGGCAGGGGTTGCTTGAAGATTTTTATTGTGCATTTCCCCACCCGTATCATAGTTTGTCTTCTTTGTTATGATACATGTAGGGTAGGCGCGCATCCACCATGGCGGGCACCATACCACCTCTACTCGGGTACTCACAGGGTGCCTTCGCCAGATTCCAAAGTAGGCGAGGGGGCGGCACAGTGTTGTATTCTACCTGTATCATATGCACCAGCACGAGTGCTTTTACTATTGTGAGAACTCGAATATAAGAGAAATGTGCTAGGATGTTGGAATTGCCTCTCGTAGTAAAGCGATGTCGATTGTGTGGATAGACTAGTGGTCGACGAACAACTACGCACTGTTTGTCGTACTGTCTATGGATATGCAATTTCATTGTATGAAAGGGGGCTCTGGGACTCGCTATTGGGAGAAGGGAGCGAGAAGTCCTCATATAGTACGTACATTTCTGTTTCCTCGGCCCTTCTTGTTCACGGCAATAGTGAACTCCATTTCCTCTTTCACCCACTCCCCCCGGTGCCAACACCCGCCAAAGAATGCTCGACCTTGATGAACCCCTCCGCAATGCCTACCATCAATGTTATTATCGCCATTGCCTAGTCCATCATACCTATTCTGTTCGTGCTCAGCCATATTCTCCGCTTCTCCGCTGGTTCCATGGACACAACTTCCTCCCACCTCTTTGCTACTGCCATATGTACATCTAGGAGCATTCTCAATCCGATGGGTAACGTTATCGCAGGCATCAATCCATTTACTATGAACGTCGTATAGATAAAAGGAAACGGGAAAGAAAAAAAGAAAGAGAAAAAAAAGGGTGTGAATGACGGGTAGCGATCTTCTAAGAATATCAGTTGTAAGTTTCTCATGAGATCCAATAACTTATAGCATGAAAAGGGTAGGGTACTAGATCAAATATTGAGAATTAGTACTTACAAGTAATTCTTAAAACTTCGTCATGAAACATGACCAAGATCTAGTTAAATCCATCAAAGATAAAAGTTGCGAAGTCAGAGAGCTCGTTGGATGTTATGATAATATCTGCGGCGTACATGTGGGTTGTGTCGAAAATAGTAAGACAAGGGATCACCATATTCCTTCCGGGAGGAAGGACAGTTCCTACATTATCAATTCGAAAAAACTGAGTAAGGCTTGGCCTTACGCCGCGCCAACTTCTTGTGATGGGACGGTTTTGGTTTGCTCGCATTTCCCAGCACTCGAAAAGCATGGAATTTGGGTTAGTTGTAATTTTGATGATTATCGCCATCCTGGTTCGTCGTTCAGAGTGTTCTAACCACCAAGCTGCGTCTGCCCTAAGTTGATGCAAACTTTCAGAGTATCCGACCTCGATTATAACTGATGGCCAATCATTTAGTTTGTTTCGGGTGGCGGGTCGGAGACCTTCATCCCCCTGCTTGCTCCGCACGCCGGGGATATCAAATTGGGAGGCGCCGACACTACGTACTGAGCGCATAGAATGTCCACGGAGGGACGCAATCTTTCCGACAAGTGTGATATAGAAGTCTCGGCTTGTGTGTTCATGTTGAGTACCCGGCATAAGACGGATAATCAGAGCCTCTATGGAATTTTCGTAGGTAAATCTAACCATACTTCGAATACCAAGTCCAATGAGTGCCTGATCCACTTTCTCCAATTCACTTTCCGGTAAACTCGAAACTAGCAAGTAGCAGCCAACGACGGAAGTCAGCGATAAACGTAGGCAATTTTGAACCCGTTCATTAATTAGTGCGGATAGGTTATCTGCATCTTTAAATAGTATCCGGTCCTCAGCTGGAATCAGATGAGACAGTCGTGTAAACGGGATTGTATAGTGATCGTCTTCAGAAACAGTCCGCGCAACTCTAGGACCTGCTGTAGTCGGGGGGGGGGGTAGTAGGTAAAGTAAACGGTGATACAGTCTCGTTATCCTTCCGACTGCTTCCTGTACTGGGTGTCGGTGACCTGCTGAACGAGGACTGGCGAATATCGAAACAATTCTTCACATCGCCGAATACTAGTGCCATAGTTGGAGAGACCTGTTTGCTAACCGGTAGTACGTCATTAATTTGCAAGCCTCTTAAATGCTTTGAGAATTCTCATTTTGGAAATCCACATTACCTGAAAGGAGAGATGGAAAAAAAAAAAATTGCGGCGTGGTTGGGGAGACCAGTGTTGTGTAGGATACGGCTGCACGGGTGGATTGGAGACGGAGATCGGCGGATTGTCGAGGGGTATATATGTGGGGAAAAAATCCGCTAACCGGGATAATATTACATATGAACAAAAAATAGGCCAGGGCTGCAGTACTCGAGTACAAGTACTTGCCCAGGACGGTCTCCCGCCTGCCAGTACCAGAAGTGCACGCGTGTATCGCAATCTGCGCCCCTGCCTCCACCGCAGCTCACCCCTCTCAAAGATTCCCCCCTTCGTCCTTTTCTGCCTCTGTGTAGACCTGCACTACCGTTCCCACAGTCCCTCTTCCCTTGGCCGCTGGAACTGTCAAATGAGTGCCCGGACTTCCCGATTCCTCTCCCGCACTGTCGGTGACGCAACTCCCCATCTGAGACGTCGAGCCCCCATCGCTCTGCCTGACGAAGAACATGGCCCTTCTACCCCTCTATTCAAATGGCTTGGTCTAAACGGCCTTAATAGATCACCCAATCTCAATCGCACCCTCAGTACGTCAGAAGATGAAAAGGCTTCCCAGGACAAGGCAAAGAAGTTGGGCACTTTCAGTGGGGTAGACCCCACCACCAATTTTCGTTCTCCAAGTCCCATTCCCGCTCATCGGAGATTTTCAGGTATTCGTGCCAACAACTTTAAATGTTCTTTCAATCCTCATGTTCCTTCGCTTCGGATTCATACTGGGCCAGAGTGGCATCCTGGGAATGCTGGGTGCTGCCCCTACTCTTTTGGTTCAGTCAAGTACTGGAGTAAGGTCGTTAACATTCTAGTCTAGGTATGCTTCTTGTTAGGTACGACTCCATCCTTGTTACCGGTTCCGTACGCTCTCTTTCTCTAATGGGCTCGATTATTATATCTACCAAACCGGGCCCATGCATCCCCGTTGCCGTCCCAACAGACTTGACTAACAATGTTGTCCAAGCTACCTCATTAATCTAATCACAACGCTGTCGATTTCAGCAATTTCTTCTAACGGTACTGTGCGCGGCGGTGGTGCTTACTATTTGATATCACGCTCACTGGGGCCGGAATTTGGCGGCAGCATTGGTCTTGTCTTCTACCTAGGGTTTGTCTTCAATACCGGCATGAATGCTGTGGGTATGATTGATTGCCTAATGAACAACTTTGGTCAAGTTGCTGGAAGTTCTGGTCACGTCTTTCGTGATGGCTATGTTAGTATCCTCCCGTTGCGCACTCCCCCTTCCTCACTATATTCCTTCTCTTGTAGTCCTAGCAACTTTAAGGTCGTCATTGCCTTTATGTCCGGGCTTATTGTTGATTCTTTTGGCGCCGTTAGTGGTATCGATATCTTTATGCAACCGCCGTGCTCATCTTTTGTACGGCTATATGTCTTTTAGGCTCCGCGATTTTTGCTCGGGCCTCCAATCTCCTCCTTGGGATCCTTCTTCTCGCCACTTTCTCTATTCCATTTTCCGCGCTTGTAGTTGCGCCTTTTTCCAACCATAAGCTGCACTACACTGGTATCTCTGTAGTTACTCTTCTTGAAAACCTGAGGCCACGGTTCACTAAAGGTGCTGTGGGTAGCCAAATATCGGGCCGGTTGGTCTCTCAACTCCCATGCAATTCCTCATGAAATGACGTATTTTAGTGAGAACTGGCAGGATCTTTTTGGCATCCTTTTCCCAGCAACTGCCGGTATATTCGCTGGCGCTAGTATGTCCGGTGATCTGCGCAACCCCAGCAAATCCATCCCTAAAGGTACACTGCACGGATTGTTACTCACCTTTATTGCCTATACCATGGTGATACTTTCAATGGGCGCCACTATCAAAAGGGAGAGTCTCTACAAGGATCTCAATATCATTCAGGATGTTTGTTATACTCCCCTATGCCCTGTTAGACTCCAGGGATGCTAATCATCTTTTCAGATCAATGCCTCAAAGCATCTCATCTTGATGGGCGAGTTGGCCTCGTCCTTCTTCTCTGCGCTCATGGGCGTCATTGGTTCCGCCAAATCGCTCCAAGCACTCGCACGAGACGGCGTTGTTCCTGGTGTTTCGATCTTTGGCCAGGGAACAAAGCTGCACGACGAACCGACCTATGCAATTATCCTCACTTTTCTGCTCTCTCAGCTCACCCTTTTCGGTGATATCAATCAAATCGCTAACATCGTGACGATGACATACCTCATGACCTTCCTAGTTACTAATCTAGCTTGCTTTCTTTTGAAAATTGGGAGCGCACCCAACTTCAGACCGAGCTTCAGGTACTTCACATGGTGGACAGCCGCTGCTGGAGCTGTTGTGAGCGGGGCAACAATGATCTTTGTGAGTGCGCTATGTGATCGCTCTAATCCCTAGCTAACCCTTAGCTAGGTTGATATACTTTACGCCGGTGGTTGCCTTGCTATATTGCTTTCATTGTTCCTGGTTATTCATTACACCACACCACCGAAAAGTTGGGGTGATGTTTCCCAGAGCTTGATCTATCACCAGGTCCGGAAGTATCTTCTCAGACTTAAGCAGGAACATGTGAAGTTTTGGCGGCCCCAGGTAATACCCCATCTCTTTCAATGATGTTTGTCGCAGCTTATTGATCTACGGTCTCAGATATTGTTACTCGTCAATGATCCCCGGCGATCGTGGAAACTGATTCAATTTTGCAACGGTGATCAAACCCTACCGCAGCAGCATACAGAGCAAATGTAACTAATCACATGGAACAATAGCTATGAAGAAGGGCGCTCTGTACATCTTGGGCCACATAGTTGTCACACCCGACTTTCAGGAATCCTTTCCCGAGTTGAAGAGGCAACAGGCAGCATGGATGAAGTATATCGATTTTAGCAAAGTCAAAGCATTTCCTCAGATCTCTATTGCGCCCACAATCGAATGGGGGGCGCGAAATATTGTCCTTTCCGCAGGGCTTGGGGGAATGCGACCAAATATCGCTGTAATGGGTTTCTATAATCTTGACGAGTACAGAGAATCGACCTCACTCATCAATGTGCCTTCTGCAACACCGATAAGCGACAAGACATCTGCAAACCGCCAGTTGGCCCGCCAAGGTTCACCAGGCAAACGCATTAGCCATATTGTCGATAACCTGCCTACTGACAATATGAGGAGCGAGAAAGCAGTCAGCGCAACCAGTTATGTTAACATTTTGGAGGACTTACTGCTGTCATTGCAGATAAATGTCGCTATCGCAAAGGGGTTTGAGGATCTTGAACTCCCAAAGAAAGGAAACCACCATGAAAAGAAGTACATCGACCTTTGGCCAATACGTACGTGCCCCGTCTTCTACCATAGTGGCTCATCACCTAATTCTAAACCCAGAAATGTCTGCCGAGATTGAAAACGATGGCCCTGGTACTGGCAGTGTGTTAACTACCAACTTTGATACTTACACACTGATTCTGCAGCTGGTAGCTGACCCATTTCCTTGTCTCTCGTTCCTTCATCTAATTAAATTCAATAGGGTTGTATCCTTAACACGGTTCCGGCTTGGAAAAAAACGTATGGAGTCCGGGTGGCGGTTTTTGTCGAATATGAGAGTGACGTTAAGGAAGAGCAGGACAGAGTTAAGAAGCTGCTTGAAAATTTACGAATACAGGCCGAGGTTTTAGTCATGTGGCTCTCGAGCGGTGAGCTTCATTCTTATGATGTTATTATCAACGGAGCGGCCCCAGAGGACGGTGGCGATGTTGAGGAGATTCTCGGGAAAGAGGAGTGGTGGAGAGAACTGCAGAAGCGAAGAGGCCAAGCGTCCTCGCAAGACAGCCCCAACCATCTTACCGATCTAGCTCAGCTCGTCAGCGGTGCTCAATGGCCCAGCAGCAGTTTCTACCAACAAGCAAACCGCACGGGATCACACTCAGTCTCTGGAGGGTTACGTAAACTTATCAAGAAGCCTCGAAGAAGACATTCCATGTTTGGGCTCTCAAGACTTGGGATGCCGGTTTCCCTGAATATGCGCACACATCGCCTAAACCCGGATGCTCTTGACCACGGGTCTGCTTCCGAACTATCAAGTGACGAGGAAAGTAGCGATGAGCTCTTCAGTGACGAAGAATCCATTGCCAGCGCAGCAAGCGAAAACGACGTTGGTGAATACGATGAAGAAATATTCTCTGTGCCCAAGGCACGCCGAGCCAGCGTCGGGGATCCATTTGGCCTAGGCACGCTCTCCAGGAGAGAAACATTACGGCAAACCGCTCTAAAAATATCTGCATTCAAGCCCCCCCTTGGCGATCCATCTGGTGGACCACCCCACAATTTGCACCCTGCATCAGATTCAGGTGGGAACTCCTCTGGAAACGCGTCGGCTTCGTTGTCCGTCAGACCTGAGCCACCCCATCGGAGCTCCACACCAACCTTCTCCTGTAAAGCCATACCCGATACTCAGGTTGCTGCGGAAGAAGGCGCTGGGCCAAGCATCATGTTCGCAGACTCCAAACCTAGGAGGATAACCAGCCCACCGGCGCAACCCCACCCACTCTCGTTTAACGACCTTCCTTCGAGGGCCCAACATCTAATCCTGAACGAGCTCATTCGAAAGTATTCGCAGGATACCGCAGTAGTCTTCACAACCCTACCCTCTCCGCAATCTGGAACATTTAAGAGTGAGAAGGATTCTCTGGAATACCTCACCGGTCTAGAGGTATGCCAATTAAAGAATTGGGTGAAAAAATATTACCCTTCCCCCACTTCACCCTCCACCGCGACCACCCCTTATCATTGTTCATACTGATATCGTTACCTAGGTTCTAACTACAGGCCTCCCGCCCACGCTCCTTGTCCACTCTAATTCTTTAACCGTAACAACTGCTCTATAACCCCTTTATCCACACAAGATAACGAGCGTTTCGAGTCTATTTCCTCTGTCCCTTAATTCTTACTATTACTACCGTCCACGATATCATGATACCTGTCATTAACGTTGCTCCTATGTCTCGAGCTACACACGCATGCTCCATCCGTTGCCCTCCATAAAGCAAATAGGTAAAAAAATGAGCATTCGCACAGTGATAGAAGGCAGCAAGAGCAACAGGTACCGTCCGTCACAAAAATTGAAACAAAGAAATCAGTTCGCGGTAGCCCACACACTCTAGTCCCCCTCGCCAAAAGCGCTATTCTATGTCGTACTTGTACTCTACGGCGTATGTAAACATGGATTACCCGTGCACCCCATGCCATCAATCTCACGATCCTACCTCCTCTCCTACTACACCGCCGCCACCACATTTCCATATGGGCCTCCTCCTTAATTCCCCTACTAAATCCGGTATCCCACCAACCAATCCCCTGAAGGAAGACTCTCCCATCACCTCCCCCTCCTTGGGGGTTTTCTTTCCATTCCAAACTTGGCGCTTAAAACTCCATTAGAGGATACCGCGTAATTTCGCGATATATCCCTTTGTTCCCTTTTCCTATCTCTCCCGCTATACATACAGGCATCATATCACCAGACACAAGTTACCAATACACTCAGGCTCCGGCGCACGATAACGTATTTTGCCGGCCAAATCTCTCACCACTCTTCAAACCCTATTAATTACAAAAATAAAATGCAAGAGAAAAGCAAAGAAAACCTTCCGAGGGCATGCATAATGAATGAATTACCGTAGTCCAAGTACCGTACAGCACCGGTACATATTGTAGCCCTGGCGGTAGAGTGCTGTAGGTCGGTAGACCGCCGTGAGCTAGGGTCGGCTATTCCCGGAATGTTAAGTACTCCGCCGAGAAACCAAAGTTGCTGGAGGAGCTCCGTTGGGTGATATTTGGTGCGTTGCGTTGGAGCGGATGTGCAATGATGCGAGAGGTGGAATTTCTCTGGGGGGGAGGTAGGGGATGTTCTACTATACCTTCCTCCTGGGTATTGTTATGATAATTGTGGTGGTCATGGTTGCGGTAGAGTACCCTTGTGGATTGGGAATGGATGTGCTGTATCTGTGATCTGACCGTCTACCGTAGCTATTCTACGATACGGACGGAACTTGGTCGCGATAAGTAGATGATATTGATGATTCGCCTAGATGGGGGGAAGGGGGGCAGGGGGGGAGGTGTAGACTACCGTAATTGTTAAGACGGAAAGAAGTCTTGTGCTCGAGTAGGTTGACGGGGAGGTGTGGTTATATAATCCGTTATACTATACGCTAGAGAGAGCTCTATTTCCCCCATTACTAGAAGTACATATTCCTCTTCCTCCCCCCCTTCTCGTCTTCCTCCTTCCCCTCTCCATAGCTAACTACAGTAGAGCTTCATATCTCACTCTAACCCAACCCAACCCCCCAGACTAAACCAGTATCCCGGAGAAATGGTCACCACAGAAGCCAACCCAACTCCACCATTCTCTTCCCAAAAGCTCCCATGGATCCGCACGCCATTGATAGAAAACAATGCTCTGTCCAAAGCTGCTGGATGGTATTTTCCCCCATTTGTTACTTCTCTCACCTGTAGGTGGGTATAGAAATAGCTAACAGCGCCACAGCAGAGTGCACATGAAAATGGACATGTTCCAACCTGCCGGTTCATTCAAATCTCGGTATGACTCTTATCTCTTATCCTACCCTCTTGTGTCATGTCCTGTCATGCCGCAACACTCCATGCACGCCACATTGAGCCCCCAAAGCTAACCAGCTAACGCATACGCACCCATAGAGGAATAGGAAACTACTGCCTCAAAGCCGTCCGCTCCAGACCCAATCGTCCGATCCATTTCTACAGCTCGAGCGGTGGTAACGCCGGCATGTCCTTCCTCCTTCCTCCCACACCCCTTCATTAACCCATCTCAACCGACTAACGCATTACAAAAAGGCCTAGCAGCAGTAACAGCCTCCCGGGCTCTCTCCCAGAGCGTAACGGTAATCGTACCCGCCACCACAACCCCCCTAATGAAGTCCAAAATCCAGCGAGCGGGGGGGGCAGTGGTCACTCACGGAGCCAGCTGGTCCGAGGCGGACGCGCACACGCGTGCGCTGGTAGCAGCAGATTCAATTGGCGTGTACTGCCCCCCCTTCGACGCAGAGGATATATGGGAGGGGAACAAGACGCTAGTGGACGAACTCCTCGATCAGCTCGCGGGCACGGGACAATCCCTCGACGCAATCATCCTCTCCGTCGGCGGCGGCGGGCTCTTATGTGGCGTGCAGATGGGCCTGCTGGAGCGTGGGCTTGGGCACATCCCGCTGATCGCGGTGGAGCCCGAAGGCGCAGCGGGTCTTGCTGCGTGTTTGAGAGGGGGCGGGTTAGTGGAGTTGGAAGATGTCTCGAGCATCGCTACTAGCCTAGGCACGAAGAATGTTGCAAGGAGGGCGTTTGAGCTTGCGTGCCATGGGAATGTCCGCAGCGTAATTCTGTCCGACACCCAGGCCGCCCTGGGTGCGGTAAGGTTGATGGATGACGAGAGGGTGGCTGTCGAGCCGGCTTGTGGGATTTCCGCGGCCGTGGTTTACGACAATGTGCTTAAGAAGGTGTGTCCCGAGTTGGGGCCTGAGAGTAACGTTGTGCTGGTTGTTTGTGGAGGTGAGCACCCTTCCTTCCTCCTCCGCGCGCGTTCAGAGGTGGACTAATGATGCGGTGCAGGGAATAGTATATCCGCGGAAATGCTGGCAGAGTATAGAACGACTTATGGCCGTTTGGAAACCCCGGTGGCAATCCATAATTATGCTAATTGAACAGCTCGTCGATGCTGTCGCGGGGGCCGGGGGGATATTCAGCTCAGTTTCTATTGTCACACTTTAGATTTCATGTCAAGCAATCGTTTCCCTTCCTTCCCCCTCCAAGAAGCCAAGAAACCAATAGAGCCAGATAAGCAATAAGAACGAAACCAGCCCAGAACTTGATAACATTATTGAGCAGCCACCACCACCGAGCAAGTGAAAGTGAAATTGAAAGAAAAAGAAAAAGAAAAAGAAAGAAAAACTCAAGCACAATCAAAAGAACCCCAGTAGTAGAACCATAATCAACCAACCCCTTTTCTCCCTCTTTTTCCTCTCCTTCTCTCCCTTCAGACCGAAGCCTTGACAAGCCCCACTCTATAATTCCAGTAATTCGCTCTGATAGGGTCAAACTTAGCAGCCAGCAACTCGAGAGCCTTGACCGCTTTTCCATGCTCCTCCCGCTTCTCGGCATAAATATCGGCCAGCAAGTCAAGTGCGTGTGAGGAGGTGATTTTATCCGGGTTATCGAGGGGTGCGTATCCCAAGCACATGCTCTCGACGGATGATAGCGGCCGGTGGACCTTTTTGAGGACACTTATATCATCGTCAGCCCCAACCAAGAAGAGTGATAAGAAATGAGACACAAACTAACCCACGAAGATAATTCCAAGCACTAGCATTCTGCGGCGCGATAAATACCGCATCCTCTATGAAGGCGATCTCCCTCTCTACCACCTCCTCTACCACCTCCCCTTCCCCCTGCTGCCGCGCGTCCATCCCCCCTCCCCCAAATACCACAAAAAACCTATGATTCCAAGCCGAATTATTCCTGACATCCCTCTCCAACAGAGCGGACACAAAGCTCAATTCCCCATCCCAAGCTTCGAAGCGACGAACTAGCCACTGGCGATAACTCCAGACGTGATAATTCTTCCCGTCCTGCTCGAACATTCTGTTCATGAACTCCTTCTCCTCCCTCACTAGCTGCTCCTGCTCGGCCGGAGCAGCGGCAGCGGCAATAGCTTCGACAACGGTCTGCCTGTGGTTCCAAATCTGGTAATTCTTCTGGTGCCGCAGGGCCAGATCATTCAAAAACTCTAGCTCGCGCCCTAACTGCACCTCGCCCGTGGCGGATAAAGCGAACAGCGTCTTGGCGCGGTATACCCAAATGGTGTAGTGCGCTGGGTTCATTTCAATGATGTGCGCTGTGACCTGTAGCACGCGCGGGGAGTGCTCGTTTTTGGCCATGATGGCGCGGAGGTAGGACATTGCCTCGGTGTACTCTTCCGTGTAGGCGATTTGTGCAAGTGGGTACTGGCCGTCGTCCTGCGGGAGGGGGAGGAGGTCGGCCCAAGCCGGATCTGAGGCGTAGGAGTATAGGGGTGTTGGGTTCATGGCGACGGTGATGATGGGTCTGCTTTGTATTGTCTTCGTCGTTTTCTTTTATTTTCTTCCGGTTGGGTAAGGATTGGAAGGTCGGGGGAAGAGGTCTTTGTATGATAGCTGTGAAAGAGATGTGGCGGGATGTGGTGGGAGGCAGTGCTGAGAACCGGGTCAAACATAGGGGTTTATCAGGTGGTGGGGTAAGATGGAACTCGAGTCGGGGGTGAGCGGCTCAGGTTGCCAGCCCACCGTTAGGAAGTATGATAACAGACCACAGATCAGGAATAATGAGGAATTCGAGTTCTCTATGATGAACCAACTCTACAATACTCGAGTACATAAGATAGACTATCTATTATACACTATGATATGATAGCATGCCAGACCCCCGAATCTCAAGTGCTAATAAACCAACAATAACTCTACTCCCTGACTTACTCGCAGCAATCCCTTGCATAAATTCGAAATACCTAATTCCATACAGGCCCGGATCCTTTTGCGCTTAAAAAGTCAAAAGCTAGCGCAGCGTAGCCAAAAAAAAAAATAGAAAAAAATAGAAAAAATAAGACAAAGAAACAAAAGCCGAGAAGCGAAAAGTGATTAAACGTGTTACAAACCCCGAACCCAATATTTGGTGCTTAATGCAGGCAGAAATCCGAGCCCTCGGCAATCCACTCCCGCCAGAACCTCCATCCCCTGATCCCTTTGCCGATGGCGCCCACCCCTACCAACGCTTCAACTCCTTTCATACCTTCGACTCCCAAAAACATTTCCTGGGTGATCTCGGTCTCAGCGTCGCCAACAACGGCTGGCCATAAGACGCCAACGCCATCCCCTCCAAGAGTCGTCTGATACTTTTCGAACCCCTCCGTTCTGAGCTTAGAATCCAACTCCTCCAGGATGTTGGCCTTCACTTTCGGCTTCAACAAGGTTATTGAACACCCTCCTCCCCCCGCACCAGTAAGCTTTGTCCAACCGATCCCGGTGTGATCAATCAGCTCCCGAATCCGCTCCAACTTTGGATGAGAGACACCGAGCGAGACCAACAAGCCGTGATTGATGCGAATAAGCTCACCGAGCCGCGAAAGAGATGGGCTTCCAGAAAAAGAAGTGAAATCGGGATCCGATATAACATCATGCGCTTCCGCCGTAATACGGTCAATCGTGTCCAGCATTGATTGTGTAATCTCCGGATGCGCATTAAGCATGTTGCGAACGTTGGCCAACTGCTCAGCAGTTCTTCTCGGCTGTTTTGTGTCGACCAAAAGTAGAGGGAGCTCGGGAAAGCTGCGAGACGCGTCAATCAATGCATCCACTATATGAGGGGAATTTTTGGAGACTCACTTCCTCAAGTGAGTGACCTCGGGGGGTAGACTGTAATCCGTTCGTTTGAAAAGCACAGCCCTCCCTCCTGTTGCCACAGTATTGTCGACACCACTTGGATTACCATGAATGCACATCTCTCCAACAAATGACCAATTGTTAATCCTTTTCAGCTGCAATTGAGTCTCATTCGACAACATTCCCTCAAATGGTGTCGCCAGAGTTCCCATCTGCAGTTGAAGAGCTGTGCTTAGGCAAACCGAAATACTCGCACTACTACCCAAACCAGCGCCGATAGGAATTGCTGATCTGAGAGTATAGATTGAAGCAGGAGCATGCTTAGATCCGAGCATGAGATAGAGATAGAGGAAAGCAGAGGCCGCCCCTTGTTGCACCTTTCCAGGGATGGCTGCCACCAGCGGTTTAACCGTTTCCAACAGCTCCTTGTCCAAGCGCTCCACGGTATCAAAGTAATATCTCTTCTTTCCAGGTTTGGAGAATATAGCCCATGGCAGAGAATCAATATCCCAACTATGGTTCAAGCTAATATCGGAAAAGTTGAGGGACAAAGTACGGCTCGTCTTTGGAAGAGGCGTTACCAACAGATACGACCGGAGGGAAAGCGCAGCTGCGATTGCGGCCTTTGCCATCGGGTTTTCGTCAGCAAAATTTCTTCAAGAAAATATTGCATGCCTCCATCGTCGGGAAAATGTTACCTTGCCGTAAACAACGGCATGCTCGCCATAAACAATTACTTTTCCAGGCGCAGAGACCATAAATGGTGGAAGCTGGGAGACGGTCGAGGCCCGGTGAGCTCTGGGTCGGGGGAGGGTTTTTGCGACATTTGGCAGATTTCTTGAAGGGTAGTCCTAGAGTTACATATGTAAGCCGAGCACAGGAACAGTGAGGAAATTGTTAGGACACACTGAAATACTACTATGCTCAGCATTCGCCTCGGGTTTTTTTTTTGTTGTTGACGTCGTTCCAGCCGGAGCAGAGTCAACCTGACCGGGGCTCAGGACCACAACACCGCCATTAAGCTTCAGGGAGGATAGACCATTGACAAGGGGAACAGACTGCTCCATTTCGGTAGCTTCGACCGGAAATTTAGAAAAGTTGTTCAAAGGTTGCTTGTCCGATTGCTGTGGAGGGCAGGCCTTTTGCTGTAGGGCTTGAAAGGAGGAAAACATTCAGACCAACTATAGGGATTGAGGTGATGAGTAAGGGTACTATTTCCCCCGTCCGTTCTTCAGACTGTTTTATTTTTGTTTTATTCTCCCTTTTTTTCTCACTCTTTCTTTTTTCGCTTTGTTTAATAGGGCAATAAGGTGGAAGGGGATAATGTTTGATATATTAGGGGGGGGGCAGTGGTGATTTTCAGGGATAAGTGGTGACGGGGGAACTGCAATATTGGCCGGGGTTGCTGAAAGAGTGTAGAAGTGCAAAGAACGGATGTTGGTTTTCAGGGAGTCAAACAAGGGAACTGGGGGGTTCGTCGTCAGCAGACCAGGAAAGGGGAGTATTGGTGGAAGAAGAGACCAAAGTGAAAGGAAAGAAGAAAAAGGAGGGAGAGCGATATTAGGTATGAGATGGATGGATGGTGGAGGGACGGATGACACAGCTCTCTGGCCATTCTCCTCCGATAATCTTCAATTGACAGATACCGGTGGTAGCACTGGGGACTTTTTTTATTTTTATTTTTTTCTCTTCCCTTTTTCTCGAGTACAGTACTTGTACTCGTACATTCTTCCCTCTTCACTTCGATCGTTTCTGCCGGAGATCTCAGAGCTGAACAGAAGCAAACACTGCACAACAATTGGTGTGTGAAAGACGAAGAACGATAGGATTCGGTAGCTAAACAGAGCGAGTAAGGTACCGGCACACTCGAATACTCGAGTGACAGTTGCATTAAATCCCCTGATGCATGCCTCATCTCTCCTCCCATGATACTTATCCCATCGCACACAATCCTGCCAGGAACCGGGAGTGGAAGCAAGAGCGAGCCCCATTTTCCCAGGATAGGAGTGACTTGGCCCAAATCGGGGAGAGTCAATCCCATAAACGTTAATATACAACTTTTTACGCGTAACCTACCCGAGGTGCAAGTGCAGAAACACCCAGCACACCAGACACCCACATCCTCACACACCCCCAGCCAGACGGACAATCGAGGGCCGCCCCTCTTGCGGGGACAAATATTGTAAAATAAAATGGCCGGGTTCGTTTGACGGGATATCAGCCACAGATTTATCAAATTCCCAACGCCCTCAAGCACTGTACGAGTATGGTATCATACCGTCACTTAAACCTCTATCATGGAGACTTTGTAATAATGTGACTGAAGGGAAATAATTATCTATGTATATATTAAAGTGCAAACTGGAGGAATAAGGTAAAGCGGTAGCCAGCTGAAAAACAGTAGAACCAGTAGGTGTAAGATTGGGCTGTGGAACTAGGTTGATAAATGAATCTGAAGGCAAGGCAGAAATCCAATTGGATGTATAGTCAACATTGTACAAGGAAAAAATCTTATATCTCTTATTTATTGGTTTAATAGGCATACAGTAAGTGTGGTAGCATCACACTGAGGTGTATCATTATTACATCTACTGTCATATATGAGAAAGTTAAATAATACTGCTAGTAGTAATTACGAATAAGACTGTTTAGTAGTTCCAACTTCTGAATCCATTTAGACCTTGTTAACTGGAGTTTTAGATCTGATATGTGAAGAAAATCTTTGAAGAAATTGCCACAGAGAAATTGCCGGAAATATCTGATTTTGCTGTACTTTCTACCAGAAACTGTTGCTTCCTATTACCTGTCTAGCTCCTATGTGCATCAAGATCATTAGAAATAGTCTTATCTCTACTTCCTCATCTTCTTCCACCTCTCTCTCAACCCTGTTGTCTTTTCGGCAGCATAGGTATTTGTTTGCTGTAACATGTCTTCAATTACTCACTCATTTCAGAAAGATTCAAGTATCTGAAATATAGTTGCTTCACAGTTATCCTAAGAGAGTAATGCCTATATCTGGTGTTTGATTTGAGGGCCTACATGTGTATATCTGCTATAGGAGATCACTTCAGATGTTCGATATTGATTTGGTTTTTCTACAGTTCGAACATTTCTCTTTGCTTGTCTGACCACCACTAATGTAATAATCCCTCCTTGGATAGTTAATTCTTGGCGACGGGAAACGATACTTCTCTTCTTCTTCTTTCTTCGTCTTACGATAGCACTAGGCCTCTGCCTACATTACTGATAGTACAAGACCTTTGTCTTCTATCAGAAACGCCTATTTTAAGTTTTCACTAACTTTTCTGCGTGAAGAGTTCTCCTTGGCGTAACGATTTTGTTGCAATCAAGATAAAGATCATAAAAGTGTTTTTAGATTTGATAAAGTAATAAGTAGGAAAAGTACTTAGAATTCAATCTAATTTTATTTATACTAGTACCGCCGACACAGGCATACGACCTGTCTCCCCCATGCTCTAAACAAACAAACTATCTAAAATATACTACCACGGACTGTTCTGCCCTGCAGCCACTCCTCCCAAACATAAATCCAAAAATCACTACCTACATGGGCTCTCCGGTGCTCATGACGGCTAGCGTCACTCTGGATTTACGCGTCTTCCCACCCAGCTATCCAACCACCATCTCATACCCTCACTCCTATCTGCCTCCAGCACAATTTGGCCCACATACTCAACAAAGGAAACATACAGTCTATCCCAACATCCCTCTGTCCTCTTATAATGTAGTCCCAGGTCCAAGTACCCCTCGGCCAGAACAATCCCACAAAATGAACAGCGCTCTTCTTTTAACAACTTATTTGTCTTATCCCACCGCAAAGCTAGCGAGGTTGGAGTCGTGAGGTCCAGCTCGTCCCATTGCTGGTACCGAGAATGTCAAAACTGATCGTGACATGTCCGTAAACAGCGGGGCTTTTTCTCAAAGTGTTTGGTGAAGATGACTCGCTTCTGGGTGGCCATAGCAGAAATCGCAGTCCCACAACAAGGACAGTTGCAATATCGCTGGTGTCATGAACATGGCTTAGCATAAAAGAGGTTTTCAAGTAATACATAGTTATGAGTCACAGGTATGTTATTGTTTCGCACATATGACTCATTCGGGTTATATGATTTGTTATGCGTGGAATTTATAATGCTTTCACATATAGCTCAAATATGAGTCATGGGATGTACGCCTGGCGAGTATGCCTTGCGAGGGTGCCTTGCGGGTAAGCCTTGTGCATATGATTTATGTTTTGCACATGACCTCATTATGAGGTCATGGGTTTCACGCACATGACTCAGTTGAGTTATATGATTTGTTTATTAAGTTATGATTGGTTTATGAGTGTTTGTAGATGACCTCGCTATGAGGTCATGGGTTGTAAGCAGGTGATCACTTTGGGTCACATGATTACGGGCGAGAAGAATACTATATAAGGAGGCCGATACGGCCTAGGAAGATAGGTTCTTCACGCTTTGTTCTAAGTACTTTTCCTACTTATTACTTTAACGAATATCAAACACCTTTATGATCTTTATCTTTATTGCAACGGTATTGTTACGCCGAGGAAGGCTCTTCACGAAGAAGAGCTAGAGAAAACTTACGATAGGCATTTCTGATAGAAGACAAAGGTCGTGTACTATCGGTAACGTAGGCAGAGGCTTAGCGCTATCGTAAGACAAAGGAAGAAGAAGTAAGAGAAGAGAAGTATCGTTCCCCGTCGCCAAGAACTAACCATCTGAGGAGAGATAGTTACATTACAAAGCGTCACCTAATGCGACGCCAAGCAATACAAGATGGCATCCTTCAATCCAGGCAGGGAGGGAGATATCGACATCGACGATCAAAACCTTAACCAAGGAGGATTCAGCGATGTCCTAGATCACGTCTCAGCAGAACCCTTGAGAGCAGCAAGCCCAGTAACCCCAGAGAAAGGATCACCAGTCAATAGCTCTCCAGCAGGAACTCCACGACCTGTGAGAATGTCGGGATCAGCAGTACCTGGGCCACTGGCCCCAGCCGCTCCGGCACCAGGAACTAGCATACTTGGAATGACTGAAAATCAGTCTCAAGCATTTCTCGCAGCAACACGAAACACAGGACAAGGGAATGTCCAAAGAGTGAAAGTAAAGGAGCTAGATACATACGAAGGAGCTGAAGACAAGCTACGAATATTCATAGTGCAATGTAAAGGATATTTTGCTGTTAAAGGATATGGAGATTAGTATGACGAGATCAAGATTCCATATGTGGAATCTCCTCTCAGAGGACTCGCGGGACAATGGATCATGCCTTTCCAAGATGGAAGATATCAGAGGGAATGGGTTACATACGAAGAGTTCAAGGTGACACTCTTCGAACAATTCGGAGATTCTAACGTTAAAGAAACAGCAAGAAGAAAGCTGGAAAAACTCCCACAAGGAAAACAAACTTTCTCGGCATACTGGAATGAATGCCGACTATTGGAATACGAGGCCGAGTTTGATGATGCTACTCTCTACGTCATCCTCTTGAGAAACTGCAGCAAGAGACACCGAGAGGTATGGGGAATCTCCGACCTGTGCTATACAATAGTAGAACGATTTGCTAGATAGGCGATTGACAAGGAAAGCAAACTAAACATCGTTCGAAGCAACTCGGAAAACACTATAGCGTACAGGGTGGTCCAATCATCCAGAAATGTGGACGGAACCTTCAAACCGCAAGCAGCTCGAGGAGAAAGTTGAGCATTACCACTAGGTGAGCCAATGGAGTT